TTTTTTTTTCCACTTGTAATGTGTGGCTGTAGGATTTAAAGGATATTTCACACATAAAAATCTTTAAAAAGCACTGGGTACATAGTAAAAGCTCAATAAGTGTTAGTTAACATTTGTTGTTAACCACTGTTATCAATCATTTTTTTTTTTAGAGAAAATTTAAGTTGCCGTGTACCACTTATACCCAGAGGTATTTGCATATTAAGGTTTGATTCTTTTTGAAATTTTGTGTTCTGTTAAAGGAATCCCAAGGCACATGACATTCTCCCATTCTGGGAAGATATCTGCCTCATTACATAAGGTCAGCTAGTGGCCTCTGCTCCAAGGACCAGCCCTCTCAGCAGCTGGCCATATTTATTTCTCTTGGACCTTCTCAGATGGCACTTTGGCAATTCATGCCCAGAGGCTGCACTAGAAACTTACCATCTGGCCTCAGCTGCAGGCTGGGCTGTCATACAACCCTGGACAGCTGCAGATTCAACATGGATTGCCTGTGAAAATCCTTTCCAACCATGGAATTCAATGGACAAATTAGAAAAGGGAATAGAATCATTCAAGTCAATGTTTTTGTGGCTGCATGATGGAAAAAGTCTTTAGGTCCTATGAACCATGGAAGTTACCCACTTTCCTTCCTCAGACTCTTCTGGCAGCCCATTTAGTATGATGGGACCAGGATTAGGTTATTTCTGGGGATGCTTTTAGCTTTGCTGTTGGTTCCATAAATCAGAGAGTGGAGAAGGAGGAAAGAGCACGAGGGAGGTATTCCACCTAGCATTCCTCAGAAATGTATTCCAGCCTGAAAATTCAGTGTGGACAATGAAAGTACATGACTGGAATGTCCCCTATTTGTTTCTGATTTCCTTTTCCTCTGCAAGAATCATAACATAAAAGTGTTAGGAGATGGAGAGTGAGAATTACTCTTTGGATTTCATTACCCAATAAGTCCTGACCGTTTATCTTGTTCAGATGATCCAAGTAACTTAATTGTATGTTGCCCACAGCATATAGCATTCCCAGACCGGACTTCTGCTTCTTCAATGTTCTTTCTACCTGAGCATGGACCACAGAGGAGGCGCCTCCACTATTGTCCACCAGGTGGCGATAAAGCCTCAAGAGAAGCAGGCTGGTTGTTGGGCTGCCCAGTGATAGAGCCAGCTGTCACTCATTAGCCCAGCTGGAGATTCCTGTCAAGACTATTTCAACCAAGATAGCTAGGAGAGAGCTCCTGGGGGCATGGGAAAATGTTCCCAGTTCCAGGAAAACAAACAAACAAACAAAAACAAAAACAAAACAAAACACAGCAAATGGATGCACAGTTTTCCTCAATTAATCAAAATCAAACATCTCTTTCCACAGCCAAGGTCAGGTTGGCAGGATGTAGAACAGAGGATGGTACTAAGAGGGCAGGGCCAAAAGTCATTCTTGGATTTTGTTGCTTAATGCCATCAGTGGGGTGTAACAGCTATCTTCCCAAGACTTGTCCAATCAGTTCCTGTTGCCTTTCAGGCTGAGAATAAGCCCCACCCCACTTTTTCTGGGTTGTATTTAGTCTTTAATGGTTACCAGCATACTTTGCTTGGCTCTGCATTAAAGAATAAAACCCCTGGGGTATGAACAGGCTCACATATCACCTACTCATGTTCCATTTGTGCAGAGGGACCTGTCATGGACACTCTTTCTTTTCAAAGTTTATAGGTAAAAGGGAAAGAAGGGTGGTCTATAATCTCACTTGAAAGTAGACAGGATGACGGTATCTCAATCATGGGACACAACAACCAAAATCCCCCTGCCCACTCCCAACATCTAGAAACGGTATTTGGAAATTGAGAACAGGTGTCTGGCCCAGGGTGGGCTTCCATCATTGGAACTTCATATTCACTGCAAGTGGGAAGCTTTGGTAACTTGGTTCCTGCCTCGAATGTGCTAGAGGATGCTCATCTATTGAAGACATGAAGGCTGTATTTTCAGCTGCCAAGAAAAACTCCCACCAAGCCATGCATAAATGTTGAAAGAGACATCTGTTTGTTTCCCAGATGATTAGGTTCTGCAAGCTTTACTGCAAAGACCCTGTTTAAATCCTCAATGAGGTGATGGATCATCACATGCTGGCTCTGAGGGTGGATGGTGTGAGAAAAGACATCAGCCCTGCTGTCCAGTTGAGCTCATCCCAAGCCTGGAAAATGGACAAGATCATTTACTATTTGAGGAATGGGATCAAATTCTGGTTGATGTGGGGAAGCCTGAAACAGCAGCAGCAGCTGTACAAAAAAAAAAAGCAGCCTATTTGTACAAAGAAAGCTTGAGATCTCATTTGATATTTTATTGTTAAAAACACAGAAAGGAAGCAGCCATTTGCTGGCATACCTCTAAGACATGATTTTAAAATCCCAATGCATAATTTTAGAAACCTATGACATCTGACTTTAAAGTCAACAACTTTGAAAAGGTAAGATGCTCTTTATGTTGTGTTTCAGAGAATACATAAGATAGGTATGTCCACCCTAAACTCCTTCTTTATTCTGGACATTCGGAGAACCAGACTTTTAATGGCCCGAACCACTGGCTTTATCTTCAGGATGCAGAGACGCCATTTGACATCATCCTTATATGCCACAAATGAAATGCGTTCCACCTGCGTGGCATCTCTAGAACCACACTTCCCTTTGTCTTCCTATATGATGTGACTTCTGCTCCACTCACCTGAGAGGTACTCCCCACACCTCCCACCTGCCCTTGCTGGCTGCTCTAATTTTTCTCATCTCTTTGTAACTTTTCTTCTGAAAACTGCCAACGGGGCCTCTCTGAAGTTCTCCACACAAAAGGATTAGACTTCCCACAGTGTTTCTTCATTTCTGGCCTTAGCAACCTACATGCCGAAAACTCCATGGAACATCTATTTACCTCTTTCTTGAAATCAACAATAGGAAATGGGAAGGAAGATGGCAGACATGTGACTCACTGGAGAAATTATTTATGCTGGACTGAGAACATTCCCAGGAAGCATGGCTGTAGTTTATATTAATTGTTCATTGGTGAATGCTTGGACTTTACAATCTCTAAAATGTTAGCCCAGATCTCTTTGCAAGAAACTGCCTTAATGGAAGTTCACTTCAGTTATGGTTTAGATGTTAGGTGTCCCCCGAAAGCTCATGTGGGAGACAGTGCAAGAAAGTTTGGAAGTGAGATGATTAGGTTATAAGAATCTGAACCTAAGCAGTGCATGAATCCCCTAATAGGGATTAACTGGGTGGTAACTGTAGGCAGGTGGGGAGTGGCTGGAGGAGGCGGCTCCTGGGGGTTGTGCCTTTGGGGTACATATTTTATTCCTGTTGAGTGGAGTCTCTGTCGCTGCTTTTTGGTGGCCACGTCCCAACCTGCTTTCTTCTGCCACACCATTCTACCATGACATTCTGCTTCTCCTCAAGCCTCAAGGAATAAAGCCTGCTATCTATGAACTAAGACCTCTGAATCTATGAACCCCCAAATAAACTTTTCCTCCTTAAAATTATTTTCAGGTTTTTTGGTTAAAGCAACAACAACAAAAATGATTAAAACAACTTCATTCAAGAAAGTTTTGGCCCTTGAATTTGACTTACACACTGAGAGATATCAGGAATAGGAAATCACAGGGCACTCTATAAGGTGACCACAGGGCTCGGCTCACCTGACACCAATATCAATATTGACAATATCAGCATTTATGTGCCTCTTTCTCTGTTGCTACTAGCCTCTTGTCCTTTCTGCTTGGAAACCAAGCAACCTCAAGGCCAAGAAGGCTCTGGCTTTCATCAGATTCACTGATCCATGGGCCGTTTTCTTCTGTGATTTTGAATTCTATGCTTATTTTAGGGTATTCTTGGGAAAGGCTAGGGTTGATCTATGTGTATTGTAGTGGTCAGAAAACCAGAAAAAGTTTCTTCAGTACCTCATTCTCACTGCTCTTCTGGAACTTGGATCCAGTGCTGTGGTCAAATGGTAGAGGTGCATGCCAGCCTGTGTGTGAGTGCAAGTGAGTGTGTGTGTGTGTGTGTATACCGGTGCATGTGTGGGCACATGTGTGCAGGGATGGGTGTGTTGGAAACAAAAGAACGTGCCTCTGCTAACGACTGTAGGCAGAGGGCCAGATCTACACCTGAGGGAATTCCATGGAAAGTTCCTGCCATTATGGAGGTTCCCTTCACAAGGTCAAGCACAGTGATTCCTAAGGGATCTCTACCAAAGCCCATGGAAGTTCAGTGTTTCTTGTTCCCTTGTTGTTTTGAACATGACAGCCACAGCCTCCTCCCAGGGCTGTGGTTCCCCTGATGCCACACTTGCCCAGCTAGCATTGTACTCTAGATGGTCTCAACTCTCCTTGACATTAACTTCAGGAACCAAATCAATAGAGGCTGTTCTTTCTCAATACATCTAATTCTAATTCAATGGGCCCTGCACCTGAACCTTTGCTTCTGTCTTCTCAGTGCTGAGCTCTACACCAAGGCTGATCATTGCCTGGAGAATGTGGCCTGCATTCTAATAACCATTTTAACCTAATAACCATTTCCTTTAGGGAATTTAAATACTATACCATTCAGTTAAGGCAGGGATGTGACAATTCTGGGGCAAACATGGGAAAAGATGTCTATGGCATTTGTAAATATGTAGAAATTGAGTTCATTGACTTTAACCATTATTTAGGACCCTATTCTTCTGTTCTGTGAATAAGAGAGAGGCAGAGGTAGAATTCAAAAATTAAAAGTAATAGGAAGAGATTTTAAAGGGTGAAACTATTAATGTAAAACTCTTTCAAGCCTTATTAAAAATAAAAAGGTGGTGGTGGGGGTTGTTGACTCTCAGGCTCTCTTGGTCCATCTTCCTGACAATAGTGCCCCATTTCTGTTCCCAGTCCTTATGAAGATTTCACTACCCACTGTCCTGAGTAGCCCCATGTTCCTCTTCCACTCCCTTTGGGATCAGAGTTGGATCTGGAATATTTGGGCTAATATATCTACAGTCCACGGTGAACTCTAATATGGACACAGTTTAATAAATATTTGTATTTTGATGAAATTCACACATACAGACAACATACACACAAATAATTCATGAACAATCAAATCCTTGGAAAAAGTTTTGCCATTTGCTCATCAAGGTAAAGTGTCATTAAGAACACAAAATAGCCCTCTGTAAATTTTTTCTCTGGAAGCTTTCCAAGTGGTTGTAATAAGTACAAGCTGAACCATAAAAAAAACTCTTAATGTATATTGGTCTGGGAACTGAAAGAAATACTACACAAAAAATTATACAGCACACCAAGGGCCATCAAATGCTTAGTAAGAACAATAATAGTAATGTACAATGCCAGAAGAATATTAAAATCTATTCTACAATGCACAGAGAAGAAGTACCTGCTTAAAGCTGTTACAAATAAGACAGTTGGACTCCATTTTCAGTGCAATATGTCACATTTGTCAATGGTTGGGTATAAAAATATAGGTTTTTTTTTTGTTTTTAAAATGTATGCTAAAATGAAACAAAAGACTTTTTTCAATAAACTTAAAACTTTAGTCAGCAGTGGGATCTACTTGGATCTGACGAGGACCTGCAGTCATACTTTCTCTGCATGTTCATTCCTTAGGTTTGACCTTGACACACAAAGGAATCCACCCATGTCTATTTTAGGAGAATCATGTCCCCCTAGGTGCATTGCTTGTAAATATCATTATCCACTTGAAAGCATCCCAATGATGTGATTTCTTATTTTTCCACTGTCTTTTTCCCCACTTCGTAACTAAGAAAATATCAGGAAGATATCAAGCTCATTCCCCTCGTCTTACTTTCAGTGTCCATTTTGAGTCTTTTTTTTAACCTCTCAGTGTTGAAATATCTGAGTGATTACATTAGATCATTACTATGAAAATCTTAAAATATGGTCCTTAATGTTGTTTTTTTCCCTTCTCCTTCTTTTTTCTTTTTCTTTCTCCTTCCTTCCTCTCTCCCTCCCTCCTTCCTTCCCTTCCTTCCCCCCTCCCTCCCTTCCTTCCTTCCTAGAATTTGATGAAGTATTTCCTTGGTACTAGCTTCCTTCCTATTATTTCAGTCAAAGCTTATCTTTGTAGCCAATAGCAAAAAGTGAAAATGTCTCTACAAAATTCTATTTTACAATATAGACAAGAAGTTGGGCCTGAGGGATTTGAGTTTCACTTAAATACTATACACACCTGACATCACACAAGGGATGGGGGTGGGGAGCAAAAATAAACATAACCATTACTTTTATCTGTCTTTACAAAAGAAAGGTTCTTTTCTAGTGGAAAAGACTCTTCAGCATCTGCTCCCAGAAGCCTGCAGAGAGAACACTTCACCCATAGCTTTAAAAGGGTCTCTTGCTCAGATCACGTCCACCAGTTCCAAGAGGTCGTGTGGGTTGGATTTTTCTGTTCTTAGTTGAGCAATGAATAAGCACTGGATGAGTTTTCCAGGGAGGAGCTGGTTGTTTCTGGGGTGGAGACATTGTACGTTCCTGGAAAACAGAGTTGTTGCTCAGCCTCAAAGATAAGCCTTCATCAACTCTGGGGTGTGACCATCTCCTAATGGACCGAGGGGAGCTCTAATCCAGGAGCTGGGTAAGCTCAGCCATGCCTGGAAACCAACCCATGCCTGCCCTCCTCCCCAGCCCAGGAGTACCAATCAACACACGCAGAAGAGCTGCCGTTCTCAAGCATGCATGGCAGCCGACAAGCACTAACTACTTCACAACACACCAGCAGCCAGATTTCTACAAAGGAGAGGACAGGGAGATCTCAACGTGGGCAGCCTCTCCACATGCCACCACATGCACGGGCCTGGGGACATTTGCATGAGGGAGCCTCCCTGGTCCCCTTGATTATGGTGACTTGGGGAAGCTCTTGGAAGGAACCAGGAGGCTGAGCTAAAGGTGAAGGTTTGTAAAGGGAGGGAAAAGGAAAGAAAGGGGATATTATAAGGGAAGAAAAAGCAAGACCCAGAAGAAACAGAAACCAGGGCCAACAAAAGTGTCGAGAACCAGCATCAGGGAGGGCAGCACTGGAGCAGCGGCACAGCCTCGAGTGGGCAGATGGAGGGCACCGTGCTGAGGAAGAGTGGGGAGTGTGTGTTGGGCAAAGGAAGGGTCAGAGTGTCCACCCTACCATCAGTTTCGTGAACTGCCACTGCTAACAAGGTTTCCGTCTTTGCCTGGGGGGACCTTTGGGGCTGCTGACAACATAAACCAAAGTTACAGTGATTATGCACCCTCCAAATGGGACAAAGTGGAGCTGATGACCCTTGAGAGACTATCCAGTGGCAATGATCAGAATATCAAGGCCTCATTCTCCAAGAACAGAGCCCACACCCAGTGTTTATCTGACTGATTCAGAAACAAAAAATCCATTTCACTGGCCTTACATAGTGCATCACATTCTGACCGGATGGAATAATTTAATAGAGTTTTCATTATTTTCTCTTTAATGCCAATGGTTAACACACTCCCTGAAAGCTCCATCATTTCCCAACAGGTCAAATTAGTGCCTTTCAAAATGAAAAGGTCTGTCAGTTTCATGAGTAATTCATCAAATCGAAGCTGAAAACACTAAGTCCTCTGGAGATTCGGCAATGATAGGCATAGTCAAAATATACTTTTACACGAAAAGCTTGGTTTGGGAATCTTGAGACACTTGTGAACTCTGCATTGGTAAGATCTATTCAGTTCAAAAAAGCTGGCAGGAATTTTGGTGCTTATTTTCCTGTTGGGGACATTGGCATGGTATTTAATTGACCAGAATAGCTGAGACCATTGCTCCAAGTCTTTAATACTATTTATTTCATACCTCCAAGATGGAAATTTTAACTGTATTTCTAATAGAATAGCTAACTTAGATAGTCCCTCACAGATATGCACAGTTTCATAAGTGTCGATGTATAAGACAAGCATATTCTATAAGGGGAAAAACAAACCCTAGAATGGAATCCTATAGTCAGATTTTGCAAGTATAATCTTTGCTGCACCACAGCACAAGACCAGGACTATCTACTTTGACAAGAGCATCCAATTACAGGTCCCACTTTGTGCCAATGATTTGCTGGACAGCCCTCTGAGCCTAGTCAAGATTTTCTTAATATTATTCTTCATGAGTTATTATTTGTTATTATTATTAAAGAGAGTTGCTCTTTGTACCAACCTCCTCATGACTGGTGAAAATGTAAGCAAGTTGCTACATTTAACTTCTATCTTAGATGAGGTTACTTCAGGTAATGTCATGAAGTGTAGGGTGGAATAATAGGGGGTTCCCCATCAGAGCAAATTTTTTCTGGTCAACCAGGGAACACCCAGAAGTCACTACGTACCTGTTTTACCAAAAAGGTTGTTAAATCTTCTTGATATTGGAGAACTCATAGAAAACACAGGTGTAGATGAACCTATGGATGTTGACTACGAGAGAAGAAAAAGACAATCACAAAGCAAATTTATTAGACCAGGACTACTTGACCTCTTGGGGGACTGCTTTGCTACCCCATAGCTGTTCAATTTCCTGCATTTTTAGTTCCACCTCCTTGGACCACATGGAAACAATGGAATTTTATCATCAGTATTAAAAAAATACAGATGATTTGAATCATATTCTTCCTCCATCCTTCCTTTCCTTCCTTCCTTCACTCCCTTCCTTCCTCCCTCTTTTCTCTCTCTCTCTCTCTCTCTTTCTTTTTCTGCTGGTGATCAAATCTAGGCCCTCCTGCCTACTAAATATGCACTCTACCACCAGACTATACCCCACCTAAAAAATGTTTTGTTGTTTGGTAGGATTTTCTATCTTCTGATAAGTACATGTAGTCAAATGTATTCAAGGATAACACTAATATTTCAAAATGAACTATAGAAAATTCTGTCCATTATTATTCCTCAAATTGTTTTCTCTAATGCTTTGAATTCCCCCTAGAAAATTGCTTTGCATTGAAAGTTTGATTTTGATCTTAAGTTTATCTCATCTGTCATTAAACGCTGACTTAAAGATGCGAAGAAGCATCTTTGTGGTAGTGGCATGGCTGTGTTCGATAGGCAGAATGTGGTGAAATGCAAAAGCAACTAGTTATGGAGGCAAAGGGGTTTGCATTTAGCTCCATTGACCAAAATTGCAAGGTAGAGATTCTGTACTCTCCACTTCATCCTTACCAGTTGGAGTACGTGAGGATACAGAGTGGAAAGTCTCCAGGGTGAGGGCTTACCTTTGAGTGCTGAGAAGACCACCTTGACAATGAAAACTTGTTCAGCAAAGATTCCTGTACCTGCATTGTTGAAAAGAAGCCCAGTCAGCTCAACATGCCACCAGTACTTTAGACTTCTCTATGAGGTGAAAACTGTCATTGATCCTACCTTTTGATCCCAGAGGCATCCAAAGAGTAAAATGAATAATCCCTGGGGAAAGAATTAAGAGAAGTAAATTTTAATCATATTCTATTGTCCAGTGAAACAAGAAGTTGTATTAACCTAGTGCTAACTGCGGTACTTCTTTCCCCATCTGTGTTTGTAGAATTAATCTAGGACATGACAATGTTAAAAGGGATTTTATTGGTGCACACTAAGGTACCCTTCATGTTGTGATACTGGGAGAATATTTTCTATTTTCTGTAATTGTGAACTAAATATCCTGCTAGTTATGCTATTAAATAAAGCCCTGTGTCTATATTACTCACCTAACCTTCCGGGCTGTGATGATAATCTGGGGCATGAGGAAAGATCATTAGCTTCTTCTAACAGAGGGATACCTTGAAGGTCACTGGATAAGAACCTATGACTCAGAGCCACAGGCGCAGGAGCAGAAGTTAGGTTCCTATGGTCATGTCACAGGCATCTGGGAGCAACCTCTCAACTTCACCTCTTCCCCTCACCAGCTCTTAGGGACCTGCATCCTTTGGGCAGGTATTTCCTTATCTTTAACCCCCCGCACCCCACTTATTGGGAGAAGCAGAATTAATCCCTCCCTTCCCCATGCACCAAAGGGGCTTGTTTATACTTCTTTCGGAGCTCTTCTAACACACTGTTACTAATAGGTGCTACAGGAGAGTGGAAATGTCTTTCCATTTTAATATAATCAAGCAGATTGTGTAGCACGCCTAGGGCATTCATTGCCTCATTCTTCAACAAAATATTTTCAGAGAAATTATGTGATACGTAGCACTGATTTCATTCAAATGGCTTTTGAGAGCCTACTGTGGGCCAAGTTCTTTATTAGGTACAAGGAATTTGGTGATGAACAAGGAAGATGTGCACAGAGCTCACTGATGTTTCCAGAGACTAACTGGAGACATGACTTGGCTTAATTATTTTCACTTAAGAGATAATAGACTGCACCAAAGTAATCTTGGACAAATAGCAACATCCAGTTTATGGAAGTGACTTCCCTCCTGCTTGCATTATCAGGGCATTTGGAAGAGACTGGCACATGCAACCAAGTTATGATGCAGGTGATAAGAGGTACAAGGTTCCATGGGAGCAAAGGAAGGTGTCCTTTTCTATCTCATTGAGTTTTTATATTACTGCTACTTAGGGCTAAGCATTTCTCTGCATTAAAATCCTTCCCCATTCCTACTCCTGCTTATGTTTCTATCATTAGTTTGTCCCACAGGAACAGAAATTTCCCGAGAGCCCTGCACAGCAGAACTTACCTGGAAGGCATTGAGGAGGGTAAATATGATATGGAAGACGGCATTGCTCCCCTGGAACACAGTGGCAAGACCAAAACCCCAAGTGAGCCCTAAGAGTGGCGTGAGGACACCAATGCTCTTGCTGATCTGGAACAGGCTGCTCCTCTCCTGTTTGCTTGGCTTGTCTCCAATGGAAGGCCTCAGGATCTTGGTGATGACCACAACTGTGATGGTCACGTTCACCACCACAATGATCAGTGCTGGGATTACAAAGGCCAGCAGGGCCTTGGTGTCGTCCCAGTTGAGCCAACAGGCATTCTTCCTCGTATAGACTTCCTGCGGCTGGGTAGCCCCCACGGTGATGACTGAGATGACCAGGGGGCAGCCATAGCCTAGAGAAAAGGCAATAGCCTTCTGAACGGACTTGCTGGCATCATGCAGAATGAAAACCAGGCGATAGAAGAGCATGAGACCTAGTGTCAGCATCCAGAAGAAGACGCTGAGGTAGAAGAAGTGGATAAAGAAGGTGGCAGCCACACAGGCCGTCTCGCTGAGTGGGTAGTGATGGTCGTGGATGGCAGCAGCCACAATAAACCAGGTGTCAGCAATGAGTAGGGAGGTGGCGATGTTCACTATGCAGGTGTGGCGCATGTAGGAAGTCCGGTTCTTGGTCACCGATTTCCACACCATAGCTTCCACAACCAGACAGGCCGCTAAGCTCAAGATGGAAAAGCCCAGCCCAATGTAAGAGATGATATCTAGTAGTATTTTCAGGAGAGAACCAGGGTCTGGGGAGTCAGGGGACATGAGGATGGAGAATGATGTCAGGTGGTCACAGGTACAGGACACACTGTCCCCTTTGACTTCTTTCACCCGGCACCCACTGCTATCCCACCCGCCAGTGGAGTTGGCGAGACTGAAGTTCCAGAAGACACACTGGGGACTCCCTCCTGAGTGATGGTTGCTTTTAAAAGTCATGGAAATCCTGAATGGCTTGGTTAGATTGTGGCTGAGGGTGGTTGTCATCACCAAGCTGTTTGCAAAATTTTTTTTCTGAATATCCTGAGCAAGGATAGCATGGAGTGTTGGGAAAGCCACCGTGACAATAGATGAATCCGGCTGCAAGTGTCCCAGCTGGCACTTATCAATGGCCACGTTGCCCCAGAGGTCAGAGTCTGCAAAAATAAAATTCTGTTGGTAGATATTCGTCTGGCCAGATTTTATCACCATGCTCTTCATCTGCACATTGGGGTGGGAGAGGAACGATGGGGTGTTATCTCCAGATTGTAAGGCTTGGGAAAACCTTTCCACTGAGTACAGTAGCTGGGAGCTCTGGTTGGTCTTCTGCTGCTGTAAAACCTTCCAGGTGCTCAAGACAGACTTACTGAGGATGATGTTCACAGTAGACAGCACATCCTGTAAGGGACACATGTGGAGTCAAACCAAGGAAATTCTTATAAACATGAAAGTTACAAACATGACATCTCCCTGGAAATTGGTTGAGTGGGTACAAATAAGAGAGAAAGAGAAGAGAAAAATGAGACATTGCAGGCAGAGAGGATCAGCGACCTGCCTTCTGATGACAGAGGTGAGGTGGTTAGGAGACTGTGGGACTTTGCCAACCATTTAGATATAGTGACTGTGAAAGCCACCTTCCCACCACTTACAAAGGCCCATTCAGCAGACTGACAGAGGTATTTATTGTTTGGTTTGGTTTTATATTATCTGAAGCCTGTAAAGATATTTTGGTGGGTGGCATGTCCCCAGCAAAAGAAAGTATCTGAGGACCCCCCAAACCCTAAGCATCAAATGAGCTCTGAGGGTGTCGTCAAAAGCATCTTTGTTTTCTGTAAACAATTTGGTTTTTCTCTCATAAACTTGGGCTTGGCATTTTTCATCCATTCTCCCCTAAAAAAAAAAAAAAAGTAATTTCTCTTCCTCTCTTGCCTCATCTGTCCTCTGGAAGTCTGAGCCCCATAGTGGGGTGAAGAGTGGCCTCCAAAAATACTATAATACCTAAACACTGTGAAGGGCTAAGGATTATTTGCTCTTATTTGGGCAAATTAGGGCAAATAGTCTTTGTAGATGTAATTAAGTGAATATCCATCCCACATTTCCTGAGTGGGCCTGACTCCAATGCCAAGAGACAGAAAGGAAGTAGACTAATGGAGAAGGGGGGAAGGCACATGAAGCAGACTGAGACACATGTGAGCCAAAAAAAAAAAAAAAAAAACCAGAAGCTGGAGGAGGCAAGGGAGGTTCTATTCCAGACCCATGGAGGGAGCCTGGCCTTGGGGACATTTTGATCTCAGACTTCTAGCTTCCAGAACTGTGACAGAATACATTTTTGTCATTGTAAGCTACTCAGTTTGTGGTAATTTATTACAGTAGCCCCAGAAAATTTATATAACTTGGACCTTGTTACCTAGTTTCTTGGAAGTTGGCCTTTTGTTGGTTTGGCCATTAAGAGGCATTGGCAGGTGATGGGCAGATGGGGGAAGAGAGAAGGAGAAATTTTTTATTCCCCCATTTACCCTCCAACACCGTTGCTACTCAGCACATCTTTGGTAATAGCTATGGCCTTCCAGGACTTTAGGTCCTGCTAAGAGGTCTCTCCTCTCTACTTTCTCTTCTTTCCATGGGAGTATAAATGTTTTATAAATGTTGCTGGTCTCTGAATGCCTCACCACCTATTGACTGATTGGTTGATTGACGGATAAGTTGATTGAATTTACTTTGGCTTATTGCTGTGTTTCTTCATTAAAGTCTCTTCATTTGAACTCTTGTGAGTGAACTCTCTTTTCTCCCCATATTTGGATTGTTTCAAAGTTCATGGTTAATGCTAGACCTCTGAATCCTTCCTTGTACATATTCTGAAAACCTTTAACTCCTAATTTTCCTGGAAAGCAGATAAGAATTCATACTATATGAGTAAAGAAACCAGAACAGAGATTCATAAGTAAATCTTCTTAAGGCCTCCAAATGAATACCAGAAATACTCTGTGATTCTTAAAAGCCATGGCTGGCAGAGCATGTCATGCAACTCTAATATTCAAGTCATTTCTCTGGAAGAGACAGAGAAGAAGCTGCACTGGGGAGAAATTTCATTTCCTAAACAGAGTCCTGAGGGGTAAGAAGGTTAAAACTCCAAAGATATGCAAGATAGACAATCTTACCTTCATCATCTCTGGATTCACTTGGGTTGGAACTGTTGAAAGCAAATCAAGGATGTTAATAATGGCTCCCAGGCTCCCTGGTGATGAGCTGATTTCCTGTTCCTCCTTGCCTGTGCTAGTAGAAAGATCCTTTAGGTAGGCAGGGAGCTTTTCATCCTGAGAGGGGCTCTTGATCAAAGCCTAGTAAAACAAAAGCCAAAACCAATAATAAACCTGTTAATGAGATCCCACTGATCATTCATGGCAAAATCTCCCAAAGCTATAGTTTTTTATTTTTGTTTTTCTCCACACCCAGAAGTGTAAGTATGTCCCATAAGATATCCTTATTTTAGTACTTCTTATTTATTTCATCTCTGACAACAATAATTTAATCTTATCTTACTTATTTAACTTAAATACTTATTTTAGGGATGCTTTACTTCTTAAACTCTCTGTGTGTACTCTTTAGAATGGACTAAGACTTTACACCTCACACACAGAAAGGGAAAATTAAAACATGTGTCAAGCTAAAAACTAGTGATGAACAAAAGAGAGACTTGATTGCTAGAAAACTAATAGGGAATAAAATTATCACTTGGATATCTTCATAGACGAGCATTTGCCAGCTTTTATTTTTCTCTGCATCACCTGCTCTGCTGACCATTAAGGTGACTGCCCATTCCTGTTTTCTTGGAGCAGTTCTGTTTCTATCTGTTCTCCCAGTGGAAGGATTCTCAGATTATGTCACATATCTGTAATGATCACAATTCAGATTTTTAACTCAAGCTCCTACTTATGTTTTCTAAGAAGACTTTGATGAGTGTGCCTTCCTATGAATACATATTTTTTATTTCACCTGCCTTACACCTGTGACATCTCTTCTCCTATCTTGTGTTTCAATTCTAATACCTCTTCAATTAAATTATAATATCTTTAACAGCATGGGCCATATGTTATATTCCTATTCTATTCTTCTATTATTCCATAATTCCTAACGTAGCACAAGTTGTATATCTTGACATATAATTTATATGCTTAATGAATAAATTAGGTGGAGCATGATAGATCAGTATGGCCCTTTTCCGTTGAAAATATACAGAGAATTTGAACTAGGATAATTGAGTTCAAATTATAAGTTCTATCTTTCTTGATTACAATAAATTATATCTCTCAGGCTTTATCCATCAAGGCCCAACACAAATGCTACATTTTTCAAGCATAACTCCTTGATTTATTTTGCTGAAAATTACCATGTATATAATTACTCAAATGCATTATACTCTTTATCAAATGGGAGGCCAAGTTCTAACTTGACCTCTCTATCTTGATAGCACCTATAATAACACTTTGAACATAGTAGGTATTTTAATCATTTTGGTATAAGAGGTAAGAAGGATGATAATTTAATAAAACACAAATCAGTATTCTCCCTCTTTCTCCATAAGATTTGAACTTGTTGTTCAAAAGATGTCACCATTCACTATAATCCACTAGTTATAGCTCAGGTATTTATTTGCTGTACTTCGTGGAGTTTTTAGGAGTCTCTAACTTACAACAGACTAGAGATGGGAGCAACATTTATTTATTTATTTATTTATTTGAGAAGATGAAGAGAATTTCCTCTAGTTACATAGCAGTAGTCTTTGTTCATGTTAAGAGAGGTGGATTGGTCCTTTCAGCTGTATAAGAACTTCTAAGGATTGAGGAAAGCTCAGACCAGCAAAAGCATAAATCCCAACTACATTTTATTAAATCTTATTTTTTACATTACTCCTTTTTTCTGAAAAGACTATAGCTATTAGATTTCCAAATTATTCAAATGAAATAAAATAGAGTATAATACCAGCACCTCTTGCAGATATTGGGCACAAGGTCCTGAGAAGTCACCGTTAAGTTTATCTGGCTGGTTCTAGTGCAGCACACACAATTTTTGCCTTCGTATTTGAATTTAAACATTTCAAAGCATCTCTAGGGTTACATCTTCTTTGAGAGTAGACAAATGAAAGTAGCTTTTGGAGCAACACAAAAACATCCCAAGGCCATTTTCCTGAGAGCTGAGAAATCTGATGAGCCAGACAGATGTCCCTAGCAAGAGCTCAGAGTCAAGGGTTTGAAGCTCACCTTGGCCAACTGGAGCAGGCTATTTATTGGGGCAGAGATGCAGTCTTTTCTCTTCACCTTCCACCTCGAGCCTGCACAGATGTAAGTGATGGTCCCTCCAATGGTACGGTCAGGGCTGCTGGGAACGTTGGAGAACTGGCATAGCTTCTGGATGACCTTTCCTGGATGCCCTACACCTATTGTGGGATCCTGGCATGTGATATTCTTCTCTGCATTGGAAACACAGGAATAAAAGGAACAATTGAAAGAAGAAGAGAAAAACAGTGGAAATAGGGTCCAGCTGATAGAATTGTGATGTTTGAAGTCACATCTCTCTTTACTTACAGTGACTTTTTCAGAGTTTACTCAGTTTCTTAATTTTGTTCTTGATTGTCCAAAGCCCCTCTCTGCTTCCCATACAAATCTGTCTTTTGTAACCTAAGATTGCATTTCCTAACAGAACTGATTATCTCTATGCTTCACCCACACCTCCCATTCCCAGCCAGCTTCTCTTTGCTGTTGGGAAAATCTAAACCATGGAAAATGGGCTCTTCTCCCAATGAGAGGTGCCCCCTTTACCAGGAATCTTAAGGATGTAATGCCTTAATATAGGGATTATCAATGTTGGCATGTTAGAATCACTTGGGAGCTTTGGATATTGCTGGTGTTCAGGCTCAAGTCCACCAGAATTTCTAGGCAGAAAGTCCAGTTTCAGCAGTGCTTTATGCTTCCCTGGTCAGTGGCAGCCAAGGTTGAGAAGCACCACTGTAGTTCAAAAATGTAATTAACAGCTGGGTGCAATGGTGCATGCCTATAATCCCAGTGGTTTGGGAGGCTGAGGCAGGAGGATTGAGAGTTCAAAGAAAGCTTCAGCAAAAGCAAGGTACTAAGCAACTCAGTGAGATCTTGTCTCTAAAGAAAATACAAAATAGGGCTGAGGATGTGGGTCAGTGGTTGAGTGCCCTTGAGTTCAATCCTCAGCAGTGCGCCCCCCCCCCGCCCCCGCTAAAATGTAATTAACAGTAGGAATTCCAGGCATCCATGACCTGAATATTCTAAGCAATGGGTTTAATAAGCATTTGTTCCTTCTAGTTTCCCTTAAAGGTGACTCTATTTCAACTCCGCTCATGAGGAGAAAATAATGAGAAAATGACATTTGTTGCAGAATTTCTTAATTTCTAAGGGATCTTGACTCTGATGAGTAGAATCCTCCCTTGTCCACAGTTTTTGTTTAGTTAATGAATATTGAAATCTCACCCATTGTATAAAATCTTGAAATAAATAAGTAATTATCTATTCCAGGAAAAAAAAAAAGAAGTGGAAATCAATTTGGTATGAAGAAAGAGAACAAAGATAAGTAGATAAAACACGTTGGTTGTGATGGGGAGACAATGAAAAGGGACTGTGCTTTGAGGGTCAGTTGACAGTGACTCAGAGGAACATGAAATGCTAATTTGCTTCCCTATATGGTTGTCCAGGGCCCAGTGACCAATAATACAACTGAGAATGATCACAAATCATTCTGTCAACTCAAACAAACTTAGTGATAGAACCTTGTGTCCTTTGTACATCAGGGGTCCTGCTACTGGGAAGAATTATGAGGCAGGGGGATATATAGAGGAGCTGCCCAGGATTATCACAGATCTCCTTGCCTCTCTGTTGACTGAGGGTGAGCTTTCAGCATGGGCTATTATAGAAATGCCTCCACAGATCATCACTTTGTAACTCAAAGATATTTTGCAGAGGCATATTGACAGTGCTGACAATGGATGGGAAAGGCAGTTGCCTGTTCTTTACATTAATTCTTCCCATGTGGCTGTGTCACACTCCCTTTGATGAAAGCTCAAAGGAATCTCAAGCGCACACAGATTCTGCCCACTCTTATCTGACCAGTGAACTACCTGGTGGCCTCCCATGCTCAGCTGAAGAGTGATTTCATCTGAGAGGCTTTCCTGATCACTTTCTCCCCACCTGCCAGCAGCAGAGTTAAACCAGGTGACCCTTCTGACCACTCACAATAGGCTTAGATTTGCACATACCCAATGTATGTGACATTTTTTACTGTATCTGTCTAGCTTTCCCCTAGGCCTGAGGCCAGAAAACATGACTTATTTCTCTTCAAATATACCATGGTTAGCCCACAGCTTGCCACAAGAAAAGTGTTTGACATATATTTACTGAATGTATGAATGAGGAAGCGAATGAATAAATGAGTCCCTGCTCTTGACTCTAACATTTTAAAGTAATGTGAAAGGCACTTACCAGGAACCAGAGAGAGCTTCATGGATGGGCTCTGGACTGAATTATTAGCAGCATTGGTAAAGTGACAAAACACATCAACATTTCTTGAACACAAGGAAACTGAGCTTGTGTTGAAACTGTATTTGTAGCACACTTGTTTCCCATTAACTTCTTTTGCTAGAGATAGAATGATTGAGAGCATGAAGTCACAACATGAGCATCCAAAACATACATATTATCAAGGTGATTCAATGTGAAGAAACCTGTCAAATATTTCTCCAGAGTGTGTAACATTCATTTTTAATGCATTTTTACATATTTCCATAAAGATGATCTCTGTTTCCCAGAAGTAAGCCTGCATTTGCATATGTGCCAACCAGAAGTTTGCTTCTGCCATTCATAAATCCAAATCTGTGCCCATATGTTTTTGATGGTCACAATCATGCTTTTTCAGCATCCCTCTAATCTTTCTACTACCTACCATCATGCTCTGTGCATTTTTCCTATTCTGTATTTACGATGTAGTGTTTTAATCAGCTCTTTGTGGATCTTTCTTTTCCATAACTCATATATTTTATAGAGAAGACCCTTGGTCTTATTTATCTTTGGATCTCCCAGTACTTAGCTCTCTCTCTCTCTCACACACACACACACATATGCATATTGATCACAGAGTGCTGAAAACATTTGAAGGTTTCAATATGCAGGTTTGTGCTAAATGTTTCTACATACAGTCTTTTTACGATAATCCAATCTTTTTGGAGGCTGGCATTTCAAAATTTTTATTTTTTTCTCCAATCTATGTAACTTATTTTATATATTTAATGTTATATGCATTCCCTTTTATGGCACAGGCCTTTCTAGATATCAAAATATGTGCCTAAATTATTTAGTCTCCTTTTGTTTGTTTGTTATGGTACCTTACAAAGTGCAAATTCCCAAGAATAGTTATGAAAGAATGAGTTTATAAAACCTTCAGGAAGGTATCTGTATTTTGAGATTTGAGGTTGTAAGCTCATGTTTAGTTGAACTTAATCTCTGGAAATCCTGAGGAATTTGAATTGAGGATATATTCTACCAGGGAGGAATTACATTATTGTTGTTTTTAATTGCCTTATGGTTTAGGGTGCAAATCAATGGACCACGTTAAGTTAATTATGCTTCATCTTAGTGATCCTGAACCACAAACATTATAAATTCAAAGTCCAACGTTGGGTGAGGACAAAACTCTTATAATTCTCAGGGGAAACTTGTTGCCCACCCAGAAATTAGGCCCAACTCTTAACTCAGGCAGATGAATTTTGGTTTTCTGGCCTATTCTATTACTAAGCATATTACCATTTGACATTGTGCTGGTGGGTTGGGGAGCCTCAGTTACTGCTTAGGGAGCATGGTATGTTTTTTATGCCCTTGGAAGCCTTTAATCCAAGGGTCTAGGTTTCTAATTCTGGCAAATGCCAGCAGTTAAGCTCTAGCATGAAATAAAAACATCATTTCTATTTTCTTTTCTTCCATGTTTTAAGTTCTTGGTTATTTCTTTTACTTTCTGGCATGCTCAATTGTGTATTTAAAAGGATTGCTGTGTCACTTTTATAGCAAGTTATTTTACAGCATATCAGGAAGCATTATCAGAATATTTAGTCTGCCACCTAGGAGGAGTTTAAATCCAATGAAGGTTATCTTAACACTGTCTTCAACAGTTCCCACCAAAAAGAATGTACTCCACCCTCGCAACTCCAAAGATTTTGCTGCAAACTGGTAAGTCACCAGGCACATTGTCAAACAGAAAGTAATGTCTTTGGAATTCTACTCTGTTACACTGTATTTCTGACGGTTTCTTGATCCCTGCTTAAGAGTAGAATTTTGACTCCACATATATGATATAATATGTCCTATCAGTTCAGCACTCTGCATCTTACCTGCTGGAAAGGACAAGGAATCAATCTGGAATGTGACTTTGTAGTCAATATCCTCCTCAATGCAGCACTTGAAGGAATGGGAGTCTCCACATAAGAAACTAGCTTCCAAAGGATCAATCATGATGTTGGCCTCTAGAGGCAGCGGGTGAACAGTGACATCTTTGGTTGCAACACTGTATGAGTTCTTGTATCTAAATATGCAGTGATAGGTTCCTGAGTGGAAAGAAGCAAAAATGAGATGGAGTGAAATAATCACTCCTAAAGGCATTTGCTAGAAAGGTGAAGGAGAGTTTAAGCTTTTCCTCTCGAACCTAGGTAAGGCCACACTATACCTTCCTGGATACTGAAGGACAAAATTCTTGACCAACCCTTCTCCTATATTCCCCATATATTTGAAAGATTAACCAATGACCCCCTAAATATGCATTTAGTTTCAAATAAAATTAAGCAGCTTATTCAAGGTTAGGGATGATGAAGTTTCAAACCAAATTCCCAATTTCTGTTCCAAGGTTCTTACATCAACCCAGAAAATAAATAGGGATTTTGGTGTGTTCAAGGATGAAGTTTGTTTGTTTGTTTGTTTGTTTGTTTAAATGTTGTTGATCCAATGGAGCATGATGTTATTTGATGACCCCTTCCCCATCTCTAAGTGGGCAGGACCCTCAGGTTCCAGAGCACCACAGCATCAGAAGAAAAATCACTTGAGCAAGCTGCCCTGGAGAAAATATAGCAAGATTTTAAGGTACCTACAGGTAAATTATACTCTTCCATTTTTCTTATATTCTTTCTCTTAGCCCCAGCTCTGGAGAAGCCAGGAGTTAGCAGGCACCAGAGAAAAAAGAAGAAGCAAGAGAGAAAAGAAACACTTTCAATTCCTGTTGGGAGGAAGGGGGGACTTAAGACTGAAATAAAAGTAAAGTATTGTAGATTCAGACCAAAACAGATTCTTCAGTACCCAGGGATGGAACTGCTTAATAGTTTAATGTGATGGGAAAAGCTACAGTTATCGCCCAGCAGTAGGAAAGAGCAACTGGACACAGCAGATTTGAAGTCAGCATGGGAGAAAGATACTACCATTTCCTGACCATGTGTTAGCAAGTCCAGAGCCCCAAATAAATAGCTATTTTGGCAGCGTCGTCTAGGCCTTACATAAAAAAAATATAAAGGTATGGGACTCACAGAATCTGGACTGATTAATCCTATAGTTAACAAAAGGCTTCAGAATGAGTGGTTGAGAGTTGCTCACTGGAGCCAGATTAGCATCCTGGCTCTGCCTACCAGATGAATATACTTGGATAATTTATTTAATCTCTCTGGGCCTTGGTTACCTCATCTGTCAAATGGGGATAATAATAATACTGTCTCTAAGGTTCATTGTTTTAAATAAATTAATACATTTATTCATCACATAAAGCCCATCACACAGTAAGGGCTCAATAAATGTTTCCTCTTTCTGTGATAGTTCTGTCTACCAAATTCATTTTGCTCCCCAAGATTTGTGTTTCCTCCTAACATGAACAATGTGTAGAGGTAAATAAAAGTGCTTCTTTCTTCAGAACCAGATATATAAAACTTTTACCTTTTTTTTTTTTTTTTTTTTTTTTTTGTACTAGGGATTGAACTCAGGGACCCTTATCCACTGATAAACATTCCCAGCCCTTTTTATTTTTTATTTTGAGACAGGGTCTCACTAAGTTGCTTAGACCTTGCTGAGTTGCTGAGGCTGGCCTCAAACTTTCAATCCTCCTACCTTAGCCTACCAAGCCACTGGGATTACAGGTGTGCACACCCAGACCTGGCTACCTCTATTTTTTTATAATACAGTTGGGGAAAATACTCCCAAAAGTCTTGAAAAGCATTTTTAAAAACAATCCTCTAACAGAATAGCAGACTCTAGAATCAGACACTACTTTCAACCATGGAACCTTCTTCAACTGAAGTTGTGTTGGCTGAAGCATGTTTATTCTCTTCTCTGGGCCTCACTTTCTACAGTGTGGATGATGGAGTGATGACATCATCCCCCAGGGGACTGTCCCTATTTTAATGTGATGTGGGCATGTCCTAGGGCAGAGCCTGGGTGGATACTATCATGGAGTGTTCCCTGGGGACCAGATGGCACCACCCATCCACTGGCCTTTCACTCACCGTTCCACTCCCTGGTCGAGGTCTTCACCGTCAGCACTGACTCTGCTCCATTAAGATACCTCCTCGTGGTATAAAACCTTTCATATATTTTGATTCCAGCAGAAGTGTTCCAATATACCTCATCGTAGTTACTCACATCGCTGGTGCATTTTATGGAAAAGCTTTGTCCCTCAGAAACAGAAATTAGGTCCGGGGTTATGGTCAGGTTGGCTGAAAGAATACAAATAGAAAAGACAAAAAAAAAAAAAACCAAACGACAAGTCCAGTGTTTAGTCTTTCTGGTGACATCAAGACACAAGCAAAATTCAAGACAGAGACAGCAATCAGGGCCCCTCCTGACTCTATTGGGGTCAGCACGAATCTGTACCTTGCTGTTCCTGGGCTTTACTTGTTTCTAGGCTGTTCCCGGTGGTGCTCTGAACTGTACTCACTTCCATCACATGCCTTAGGAACTCGTGCACTTCCCTTTTGTGGCTGGAATTATCTCCTGATGATCAGCAGGGCAAAAGGTTGCAAACTTAGGGGTGTTGAAGTAACCCAAGCTCCCCTCCAACCTCCTCTGAGACACCTTGAGGGACAAGAAATGGCTGGGTTCTTGTAATGACTTCATTTTCTACTCTTTAAATATACTTTAAAAAGTAAGATCATGTTGAATCTTAACTTCTGTCTTTCTAGATCTCTCCTTTGTAGACGTGCGAACCCTCAAGGGCGGGCCTTTTGCTTCTAGCATCCAGTTCTGGATCAATACAAAGCCACGGCTTGATAGGCAAAAGTGAATTCTGGAACTACATTTTCAGTGTGGGAATCATAGCACTTATTGCCCAAATAATCACAATTGGATTGTCTCAGGCAAACTGGGATATACGGGCACCTTAACATTAGCTATGCATAATTATCTAACTAAAATTAAATACTTATATTAACTTAACTATATATTTACTACTCTATATGAAAAGCTTCAGACTGATTCATGAGAAATTATTCACAGGAAATGTTCATGAGACCACTGCAAACACAAAAGTTATGTGAAAGTCCTACTCTCTCTGCCTCTGCTTCTCTTTCCATTCTCTTAGAGCATCTTATTTATATGATTGCCACTTCAAAATGTTATTGGCTTCAGTCTTCCATAGGGGAACAGCATCATGCCGATGATGCTGACCTCCTTTTCCAAGCAATGTAAAATCTTATTTTTAATCATAATAAAAAGAAATCTGGGCTTTCCATAGCGTTTAAATGCTCAGATACAGCACCAGAGTTGCTTAGGGAAGGCATACTGGGTCCCTGGCATTGTGTTCTCTGGCTTCAGGGACCCAGAGGTGACTTTCTAAGGCTTAGCTGCATCTAAGAGTGGAAAGAAAAGGCATGGAGCCATGAATCTAATTCTTTTGATTCTCAAATGAGATCCAACTGCCACAATAGTGATTTTCAGCAAAGGTTAAATACATCCTCATGACTTGCCCCAATTTTACAAATAAGAGTGAAATCACAATGAACAATTTGGAGAAGGATTAGGTTTATCTGCACATATTATTGCCCAGAGCATTTTGTGGGTATTTTGGACAGTTTGCAGTTTTCTGGAGTGTAGGTGGTTATGTACTCCCAGTTTTAACTCAAGAGTTGTGTTGATCACTTGGGCCCACATAAGCCTCATCGCGATCTTTGTACCAATGCTAAATTACAGTAGCAGAAAGCATAAATATAGTAACACAGGTATAACGTTCAGCAGTCCTTTCTCTGAGTTTTTCAAAAAGGGTCTGATGATGTATCTAAATGGTCCATCTTCATAAAACGGATGGAAAAACATTTTTGCAGTTATGGATAAAATTATACTGCTTTATGATATGAGGAGAAATGACACTTGAAAGTGTCATTTTAACAAAACAGAATTGAGATATTAAAAATCACTCATTCCCACTTTAAAATATTGACAGACTAATGGATTATTAAAGCTTTCTGTAGCTTGATTTCTAGAATGGGTGAGAGAGGAGAGGAGATGGGGGAGGGAGCAGAGGAGATGGGGGAGGGAGCTGAGGGAAGAGGGAGAGCCAGGCTGGTGGCTCCAAGGAAGGAAGAATGGGGGTTGGGAGGAAGAGGGGAAAACTCTCAGGGACAGAGTACACTTATTATGAATTCAATAACAATAGGACCAATCTGATGGCGAAACTACTTCCCAGTCCATTTTCTGCCTTCTCAGTACAATGCAGCTACTTCCTTCCCTATAGCCATTTTCCCATCCCTACCCTTCCCAATTTTAAAAAGATGCCACCTCAATTTCAATGGCAGAGAGGGAAACCTCTTCTACCTCCCATTGTTTGATTTACTCCCATCACAATCCCACTGTAGGGAAAACCCTACTTTCTTTTGCCCATGGATATTCCTAGGTGATTGGCAAGTGTAATGGAGTTATGGCTAAAAAAATCTGAGAGAGTTCTTACCCACAGAGGTGAATGTCACGTCTATATTCTTACTGCCTCTGGCTCCATGTACGCCGATGAACTCACAAGTGTAGATGACTGTTGTTCCAGATGACCCACTTGGGCACTGGGTTCCATTAGCCTTGAGGGTGAATCTGCTGCATTTAGAATCTAGGTTTGTTTCTGTGTTTCCTGCAATGACATACACAATTCTTTTGCTGTCATGACTGGTTGACTTTTTAATTTAGTATCAAAGAGTCAAATCAAAGAAAAGGTTACTATTTAAATTAGATGTTCTTTTAGAATGAAGAGGGGAGACAGTTTAATGGTTGGGTCTGCAGACTCTGGATCCAGGTTACCTGGCATCCAACTCCATCACTTACTTGCAGGTGTTGTGGAGAAAGTCACATAATTTGCACTACATCCCAATTTTTTCAGATGCTAAATGGAGGTAAGTAATAGCAGCAGCTACTTCCTGAGACTGTAAGAATGTTCAATGAGACTATTCATACACACACACACACATACACATACACACTCACACATACACACACACAAACACACTTAGTAAGTGCCTGGCTGGAACCTTTCCCCAACAAAGACCATTAATGGTGGTCACTGGAATGTGAAAAATAAAAAAGAGAAGCAATGTATTTGGGTATGACTTTAACTGAAAGGAAAAAACATATCAGATTAATCAGACTACCATTATTTCTGAAGGAACAAATGAGTCTGGGACATCTATTCATCTTCTTTGAAAGCACTTTTATAGCTTGTTCCCTTTTAGCGAAAGCTTTGACATCATGTTTTCTCAGTTACCAGTAGTTTTGTTTTTCACAGTAGCTCCCTTTCCATACCTCCCTTTCCAGTCCCAGAAACATCTTCATACCATCTTCACCCTTCGCCTGGGGATCTAGGACACTCTAAGTCTAGTGTTTCCCACCACAGTCCCTTCCCTCTTTCTCCTCCCACCATTCATGCTTAAAACATTCTTCCACTACCATCTATCTTTAAAAGATGAAAGAAAAAGAATAAGCTCCTTGATTAGGAGCTTATTTTAGCATGTTTGTTGTTGTTGTTGTTGTTGTTGTTGTTGTTGTTGTTTTAGCACTGGATAGAGCATCAATGATATTTGAAAAACTTTACTTGTTATGCAACCAGAATTTCTCCCTAGTCCCCAAAATGGCTGTTCAAGCCACCCAAGTGATTTCCACCTTCATCCACCTTGCATGAATTACTTTCTAGCTTATAGACACGTCTCCCTACTCTCTCTAAGGCTCACCTCTTCACTTATCCTTTGAACAGTCACTTCCCCCAGTTCCTCCTGGACCTTACTGCATCCTGTACTGTTCTTTTCCCTGCATTTTTAACCTTTTCTCTGGTTCCCTCACTTTACCCTTCAGATATACTCAAGGCTTCGTTTCCTAAAATGGTCTTCCTCAATCCAAAAGCTCCTCTACCCACCAGGGCATTTGCTTCCTCACTGTGTTCCATGATACTTCGAACTTTGCCACATATTTTTCTACCTGTGCCACTTCCACTTTTCAGCAAATCTTTACAACTGGCCTTTTTCACTCTCTTCTTTACCGAGAGTGTTTCTTTAAGGCCAATGCCAACCTCCTCTTTTCAGCCTGGACTTTAGCATGTCATGCTGCTGACCACTGTCTCTCCCATAGGTCTCTCCTGCTTCTCCTCTGTCTTCATCCCTCCTTCTGTGCCTCATTTCCAGGTTCTTTGCCTTTCTATTCCCTTCTTCAGTGCAGATATTCCCAAGGATACTGACCTTTCTGCAAGGGTCCTGATATTCATCTTTCCTCATCTTTTCATGATTCTCTCACTGGGCAATCTTATCTACAGCTATGGCTCCTATTTATTTATTTTTTTTTTTTGGGGGGGGGGGTACCAGGAATTGGACTTGGGGACACTTGACCACGGAGCCACATCCCTATCTCTATTTTGTATTTTCTTAGAGACAGGGTCTCACTGAGTTGCTAAGTGCCTTGATGTTGCTGAGGCTGGTTTTCAACTCAGGATCCTCCTGCCTCAGCCTCCCGAGCCACTGGGATTACAGGCATGTGCTGCTGCGCCCAGCTGTGGCTCCATACACATATTAAATACTATACTCAGATGACTTCTCACTCTCTTCTGAGAGAAATACCCTTGTTGGAAATTCTAGAAGCAACTGCCCAAGTGTTGATTTGACATCTCAGGTACCTCCAATTCAGCATATGCAATTTATTTATTTTTCCCTAGACAAAGCCTGCACGTCTTCCAGTATTTCCTCTTTTTGCCATTGGCAGCTCACCAAATTAAAAATCTTAAAGTCATCTTTAATCACTCACTTGCATTTCCTCACATTGTACTTCTACTCAAATATAAAAAAAAATTTTTAGATTATGCTTTTGAAACATTTTATAGTCAATCCACAGCCACTTGCCCAGGTTCTAGTATTTGTTGTTTGCACTTGACATATTATTGTAGCTGGGCCTCTGTATTTAGTAATTTGTCCCCTGAACCTATAGGTTACATTACATGAATATTTATTTTTATAAAGTTCACTTCAGATTATCTGACTATCTTCTTTTTACCTTTAAAATCTTACCATTGTGTATAGAAAAAGTAAAATCTGCTTAGTGTGATATATGGCATTTATTCTCAATATAATTTTAATATGCCTCTCCCCTTTTGATCTTGTTCTACATCCCTCTTGTAGAATCTAGGTCACATCCTGGACCTTTGACATTCCCTGCAGGTTCACACCTCTATGCCTGTGTTCATCCTGAAATCATCGTCCCTCCTCCTCTCTACTGATTCTTTTGGGTTTCATATTTTTTTATTGGTGCATTATATTGACCCTCACTCATTCTTAAAGATCCACTCTTTTCATCAAACTAGCACACATGGGAATAAGCTATGCAGGATGGAGTGTATAAAGAAACATACTGAAATAATGGTAATGTTCAGTGGATAGGCTCCATAGGAAACAACTCAGTATATTACATAGATTAAAGGGAGGTATTCTTTAGTTGAGAGATTAAGAATGAAGTCAGAAAGGAGCAAGATTTATTTTAGGCCTTGAAAGACAATTACAGTTTAACAGACAGAAATGGGGCTCATGATCCTGATGTGGATTGGATGTATGTTGTGTGTTTGAATCAGTACTGATTCTAGATTTCCATTAAGCTGCTTCCAGGGCTGGAGCTGGGTTTAGTATAATCAGCTATGTGAGATCCAAGTCTCCACTCCTTTTTGACTGGAGTAGTTCCATTCTGGTCTGCTGTACACACCAGTTATGCTTTCACCTTGGGGGAAATTCTAGTTTTCTGAAGGACATTTGGCAATGTTTAAAGACAGGTATTGTTCTTGTGTCTGTGTGCTACTGACAGTAGTGAGTAGACACCAAGGATGCTATTGAACATCCTACAGGACAGTCCTCACCAAGAATTATCTAGTCCAGAATGTCAATAGTGCCAAGGTTAATAAGCCTTCTGTTGGGCACTAATATAAGATCTTGCTTTAAGAGAGGATTATTTAGTCAAATAAGAAAATGGAGATAAGTAAACACAAAGCAGCAGCACACAGGTCTTAACCAGGGAACAATAGGCAGTTCTCGTAGGGAGAGAGTGAACATAAGGCTCCAAAGAGATGGTAAACTCACAAACAAAGTGGAACCCCTGTATTGTCACCATGCACACAGTGTTCCTTATGATACCCTTGGCTGTGCAAGTCCAGGTCCGCGTGGAAGGTACAGAATGCAGCTAATAGGTTGGTGCTTTGCTTTCTGCAGAAGGGGTGATTTGTAATTCCAAGATTTCTGCTCAGGATTATATAATACCCCAGACCCTCACCTATAAAATGGTGATAATGGTAGCTACCTTGGGATGGGGAGGAGGGGGGAGAAAGAGAAACACACAGAGTTGAATGCATTGAATCTGCCACAGTAACTTTTATGATAATGACAGTGCCCTTAAAGAACATCCCTTCCCTTTTCCTGAGTTCAATGGGAGAACATCATTGAATTCATTGAATGTTATTCCTCTCAAAGTTAGAAATTCCCCCATTGATCTGAGTCCATGGCACACATCTGTAATTCCAGAGGCTCAAGAAGCTGAGGCAGAAGATTAACAAGTTTGAAGCCTGCCTCAGCAACTTAATGAGGTCCTAAGCAACTTAGTGAGACCTTGTCTCAAAGTAAAAAGAAAATAAAATTAAAACTAAAAAGGGCTGGGGTTGTGGCCCAGTGGTTAAGCACCCCTGGCTTCCATCCCTGGTACCAAAAAAAAAAAAACAAAAGAAAAAGAAAAGGAGGGAAGGAAGGAAGGAAGGAAGGAAGGAAGGAAGGAAGGAAGGGGGAAAAAGAGAAGAAATTCCCCCATGGCTGAGGACTCACTTTCTGCCTTGCCTGTTTCAGAGGGCTTTGAAAATACAACTGATTCTGAGAGGAGGTTAAACCTTCACTTCCAAATACTTTGGGGTGAAATCTTTTGCTACAGTGCTTCCTACTGACATGGGGGAAATGGGTGCTGAAAGAAGCTGTGGCATTTGGAGAAAGAGACCTGCAGAGAGGGGGCAGCAAGAGGCAAGGAAGAAGGACAAGGTGCCAGAGCAGAGGCTAAATCGATCAGAGCACTCACTGTGTAGGTCCCCTGGCGGCCAGCCCTGGGGCAGGAAATTCATTGTTCTGCAGTCTGCTCAGTCCACACTGGGGCATTAGGAATGGACGCAGAGGTGGCCGCCAGAGAGAGGTCCCTGAGTATCTGCAGCGCAGACTTCCTGGTTCCTCTGCTAAGGGCGAGGTTTGTCACCTCTCAGAGTTGAAAGCTTTTCAGTCAGTACCACAGGAATTGTGCAAGGTCTTTCGCCCACCCAGCAGTTCCTTCAGGATGCCTACACCTCCTTTTCCTTAAAAAGCAGGGAAGTGACTAATGGTCCCATGTGTCAGTATTTTCAACAGTTAAGAAAGGCCTTTTCCATTCTCCTGTGGTCTTTAAAGTCAAATACAAATGCTGCAGGTGAAATCAGCTTTGCAAAGTAAATGTGCTCTGGAAAATGTGCCTGTAAATGGATCTTTTTGTTCCATTGTCCAATAGCAAAAGCTTTAGAAAATCCAGGCTCACCACACTAATGATTTTCATGGGTAAAGTCACATTTTAGTTGAAAGTTTCTGGAGAGAAGAGCTAGATGGTGGTTCTATTGGGATTCCAGGTGGGAAAATCTTCCTTCCAAACTAGCAGACCAGCTCACACAGGTGCTGGATGATTTAGTTGGCCAAGACAAACACTGTTTTTTTTTTTTTTGAAACAAAATCTGTGGTGAGTCCTAATCCTTTTCTTTTCATATTATGACAACCTTGGATAAGTCATTTAATCTGAACCTCAATTTCCTTATTTTTATATTGGTAGTAAAAATGCCAGCTTCAAATTTGTGGTCAAGCTTAAATGTGATTAAAAGCGATCACATATATTTTTTAAATGGGTTAATCATAAGCTGTTATACAAAATGAAGTCACCATTGCTGCTTTTATTTATTATTACCATATTCATCAGTATAAACTGGAGGGTAGGGGCTTCAAGTCCGATCTGAATAAAACAAAAGCAACCATGATTGGAAACTGTCATGAAGTAGTTGAAGGACAAACATGTCCACAGAAAAAGATAAAAAGCTGGAAACACCAAGAAAAGATTGAAGTTAAGGATATAACTTAATACCAAGAGGAGAGAAAGAAACAGGAAGTCCCAAGTTGTACCTCAAATGAAAAGCCAATGACCTCCTCCTTAGCTCTCTGCTGAAGGTGAAAAAGAAAGCAAGGAGGGACAAGCTTTTTTATGGTCTGGAAATGCCGTGGACCTCAGCCATCAGGATCACTCTCTCTTGGGTCTTCTGTTTCTGAAAATTCATCTGTAACCAAGCATGACACTCGTGTGTCTGCATTTTTGGAGTTTTGTTCTAAATGGCTCAGCTGAAGCTGATACCAAACCTAGTTTCATAGTTTGAAGATCAAAATGAAAAAGAAGACAGGCATCTGATATTCCCCCCACTTCCTATCCCATCTCTCATCTTTTACATGACCAAGAAGCAAGCAAAGGCCTATTTGCCAAAGAACGTCTTATCTAACATTCTTACCTAGAATGCTTATTTTTCCTTCCTGCTTCCATTCTACTGTGCTCCAATTTACGTTACTCTCACTGCAACAGTTCAGAGATACAGGATTGTTGTCGCACATCACCTTCATTTCTTTTTTTGCCAAAATTCGGATGGGTAGCACATCTATTTTTTTTTTAGCCTCATACTCGAAAATATCCAATATCAGTTTGCAAAGATATTCACCTGCACAGAATATACAAAATCATTTATTATTACCCCACATATGTCTTGCCTTAGATGAATGATAGTCTTGTCTCATGCAGCATGGCATTACATCAGGAGGCCTCATTTTCAAAGCACCTGAGACTTGGTTTAAATGCTCCTTAAGAAACATTTGGGAAATGCTGAGGATCAACGCAGAGATTTCTGATGCCACAGGTACAGAGTAGAGAGTTGTTCTGATTGTAGCAGTCTCATGGATTTTGCTAGTAAGGAATAAGACTGAAAACGGGAGGGAAAAATTTTTGGAAAGCTTTGGAGACTTAGAAGATAAAAAAATTTGACATCTTATTTAACCCTCTGGTAAGATCAGAATTGGCCAAGATGTGATATACCCCATGTGTCAACAGCCTACCTTTTAATGCAGAGAAATAGAGGTGACTTGTTGATATCTGGATTAAAATGAAGAATTAAGACTTACGCTCCTATGGCTGCTGGGGGCTGGGGAGACAGGATGGTGGGGACAGGCCAAAGGGACAGATTACTGCAGAGGACAGGAAAATCTGGGGCTGGGGGTGATAGATGAGGGGGGTTCACTATCTTGATTCTGATGATGGTTTCACAGGTGTACATAGGTCAAAACTTAAAGAACTTTAAATATGTGCAGTTTATTCCACATCAATTCTACCTTAATTAAGCTACTTTAATTTTTTTAGAATTTAATTGAAAACTCAAAGAATAAGAACATACAGCATAGTAAAAAAATAATAACAATACATTAATTAATTTAGAAAATAATTTAAGATCACAGGATAAATTTTCAATTTTGAAGTATTGAGCCTGAATACTTCCTTTTGAAGAGAGCAGAACTTAGCTAACACTATAGGGTTTGTTCCTTTAAGAGCATTCTGTTCCTTTCCTCAAACAAAACACTGAGGAAGACTCACCCGCGTCACCCTGAGTGATGTTGTGGATGGTGAGGCGTGATACTGAGGTTATGTTGTTGGGCATCGAGGTGTAAATGGAGAATCTGCTGTTGTTCTGGATGTGTCTTTCTCCCCGGTACCAAGACACATTGGAGGACAAAACTTCATTTTCACATTCCAGGGTTACTGTGTCCCCTTCAAAGATGATTTCTGGTATGACAGTGAACTTAGTTTCATCTGGAAATTCAAAGAAAAGGTGTTAGGATCCCAGAGCAGATAAATTTAATGGAATCCAGGTGCCACCCCTGCTGGGGAATCTTAAGAGGTCTCCTGAGCACCTGGGATGCTGCTCAGGGTGGGCCACATGGCTCCTCACTCCACTCCCCAAACTGCCTCCAAGACCCACAGAGCTATAGCCTGCTAGGTACTAGGGGCAGACCTTCTAGTTTGGGGCCTATGTAACATGTGTCATAAGGTCACTCAGGAGTTCCTAATGGTAGTAATGGGAGCCCAAAGCTGTTTTCAATATTTCAAAAATCTGGTAGAAAATAATGCATTTATTTATGAAAAAGTCATCCAAGCTGATAAGCATGGGGTTTCTTTGCTACTGACTGGAATAATATCAACTGCTTCTCACCAATTACTCATATCTTGTGCCCACTGAAAGCTCTAAGTGTATAATGAGCTACAAATGGGAAGATAAATTTGTTATTGATAATAAGTAAAACCTTCCTGGGAACAAAGAAGTTTTTCAAGGTCTGATCCCTATGGACCCTTAAGTATGAGAATTTAGTAGGTAGACAGGTGTGGATTTGGATTCGGGTTTTGTTCCACGTGCAGCTGTGTGGACCTGGGGAACCTGCTTGGCCTCACTCAACCTCAGCTCCGTTTTCTGGAAAATGAGAACAGTGAAAATCACTTTGAGAGGGGACTTGGGAAATCAGCAGCTATTATTACTGTGATGGCAGTAAGTTCCAGGGAATCACTGCATTGTCATTACACAGATAAAAACATCATGTTGGTTATCTTTGTATCCATTTTTGTGGATGCCCTTTCCTTATATGACATGACTTACATGTGTTGAGAAAACCAGAGGAGTGGGGCCTGAAGCCCAGGAAAGATCCTCTATAGATAATAAATATGGGAATAAGTCACCATAAAATTAATTTTGGGTAGTATGATGTTCTAGTCAAAATATTAGTATCTTACCACTTCTTTAAGACCACTAGTTAAAATAAGATTTCTTTTTTAAAATCTCATTTAACTATTGGGAAGCAAAACCATCTGTGAGTATTTAATGTAGTGCACTAGCTTTGAAGTCATACAAACTTGAGGTATTGGCTATGTGTCCTTGGGTGAGTCATTCACCCCCCATCAACCTCCAGTTCCTCATCTGTAAATGGGAATAATGACATCTATCTCACAGGACATGTGAATATGAAATAGAAGTAACACTCTAGAATTAATACAAAAAGATGTGGTAAATGTCCCTGTTTTCATTACGATTATGGTTAATAAGTAAAATTCATGGAACTTCCAATATTATATGGTTAAAAGGAATTTAATATAAATTTAGCAGGAATAATTAAGAACAAGTGTGCTGTTGTTTAATAAAGTATCACCAGAGGATTAATGTAGGACAAAGTAAATGGATCTATTCTAAAGACTGCCATGTACCTTTTGCATCTTGTGAAGATGGATTTAAAACTAAGTTCCTGATACCAACTCATTCATTCAACATTCTTCTTTTTTGCCCTCTTTCTCTCCTACTCATGCCCACATCATCATCATCATCATCAGAAGAAGAAGAAGAAGAAGAATAGGAGGAGGAGGAGGAGGAGGAGGAGGAGGAGGAGGGAGAGGAAAGAGGGAGGTCGAAGAGGGAGGGGGAGGGGAAAGGGGGAGGAGGAGGAGAAAATTTTCATGCAGTAACATGAGTTTTGGGATGTCTGTGTTCTGGATTAACACTACCTACACTGTGGAGAGGAGGAGGGCATCTGAGTTCCCTGTGGAATTGAGTGTGCTACCAGTTCATGTTTATTTCTCTAGGCTCTGCATATCACAGAATCCCACTCTGGTCTTTGAGGGAGGACAGAGATGGATATAGACTCTGTGTAGGGGTGAGAGGATGTTTAGTGCCATTTTCAATGACTCCATTGCTCTTTGGAAGTTCAAGTCATGGATGCAAATGCACCACATGAACTGGACTATCAGCAGCATGTGCCCAGATGGACAGTGAGTCCAACAACTAAAACCTGGGCACTTATTCATTTATATGGCTGCCTATCCTCCACATGACTGCAATTTTGGGGAAAGAGAAATCACACCTGCAATTTAACTATGCAAAAATCTGCTACTCTCCTATGCCCTTGGTATGATGAACGAAAGGGACTCTTCAGGGCAGAGAAAGCACATCTGTTTGTTGGCCAGTTGGTGTTACGGTCAGGGGAGGGTGGTATTGCTGAGACTGCATCTATGTGAGCCAGATTTTCAGGCCACTTATTCTCTTTTCTTTAATTTTCTGATTTTTATTTATGTTTTACTGTCTTATTTAGTCTGAATTTTCATTTTCACTATTTATATTATATTACATTCTAACATTATACATATTTCTCATACTTTCCTTAGCTAGTTTTATCACTTAGAATATTTTATGTTAAAAAATGATGTAATGTTTGAAAGTATGTGCAGAGAACATAAACATAGGATATAAACTTTCTGTGAAGCTGACCTGACTCCTGACCAAGGGGCCTTTTCCTTTGTTTGTGCCTACACCATCCTGTCAGTATCTGCCCCCATACTAGATTCAGAAGAGCTATTGCCTTTGCTCCAGACTGCAGACCTGAGTTATGCAGAACATCTGCTGGCCGACTCCTATGTTTATCTTGCTCTCCTGGGTTCACTTACTAGCTGCCAACTAACAATAGGTTTTGTGTCCTTCAGACACACCAAAGCCCAACTTTGAACCCCATTTGTAAAGTGGGGAGAACATCTAAAGCAAAACAAAACAAACAAACAAACAAAAAACAATTTACCACCACATGATGTAAAGCAGTGGCTCTCAAACTTCTTGCTACATTAGAAGGCTTCTTTCAGAAGGCTTCTTCTTGAAATAGATGGCCCTGTTGGAAGTTCCCTGCTCCCCTCTCCCCTATATCCCAATGCAGTGACACAAGCCAAGTTGAGAAGCATTGATCAGAGATGGGGAGATGGCACATAATCCTATGTGCCAGGAACCGGAAAGTCTTTCTCCACAGAATATATCATAATGATTTTCAAGGTTTAAGCATAACCATCAACACCATTACCATTTAGATGGAATCTACAGATGGGAAAATGTAGCAAGGTTTCACTTACTACTAGGCACCCCTTGAAAGGAACTGTAGTCCATTTTGTAGGTCTGATTAAGAGTCTGCATGACTTGCTCGTTGGCTTTCTGAATTAATCCAGGTGGTGGTGTTTTACTCTGGACTTCATATGACACACTCACACTGCCCTTGCTGAATAGAGACACTTAGTTTAGTAAAGCAGCAATTCACCTGGAAGAATCTAGATGTTTGTGATTTATTTGCATGGGAAAACAAATAGCAGGAACCACCTGGGGGCTATTATGCTCAGGAAATCACCAAAAGAAACCTATCTTCAAACTCTGGATGAAAACCCTAGGCAGAGCTTGCATACCCAAAAGTCTGCAAACAGGTAAGACAGGTGAAAAAACTTGCAGGTGGGAATTAATGAACAGAGTCCCACCCCCTGGTCATGGGAGCCAGCCACCAAGCAAAACCTGCTGATGGCTGTCACACAGGGAGTTTGGCCTTACCAGATACATGGAATGTTAATGAAGCCCAAACCCTGGATGTTCCCATACAGATTCCTGATTTTTTAAGATTTGCAACTAAGTCCTCAAAATAGTGTGAAAATCCACTCAAGGCTACAGGGTACCCAACTCCAAGGGGAACAAGCATGCAACTCTGGGGTCCTGACTGGCTGGCAAGAATTTTCTTGCATAAAGGCATTGGTATATAACATTATTTTATTTTTAAATTTCTAAACTCTCTAGACTGAAAATTTATCTCTTTGCAAAATGCTTGCACACATAAAGTGGCCACATCTTTTTCTGTCCTTACTTTTATATAGGTGTATCTGTAAGGGGTGAGTACTCTTCTCAGTGTCTCATTTCCCTTTTAACCCCTATAATCTGGCTTTTGTCTTCATGTCTAACAAACTGTTCTTGCTAAGCATTCCACATGATGCCCACTAATGGTTTTCTTTCCTCCTTCACTGACATGCTGATCTCTGCCATCAAATAGAAATGAACAAATTATAGCACTCTTACGTGAACTCTGTCACAGTCACCGATTTGAAGCCTGGTAAAATTCTGTAACCCTCCTGGAACTGGAAAATAAGGCAAGATGAGTATCATGTTTTAGAGGCTGATGTGAGACACAAAAGATTTCAAATCCAGTAGAAAGCCCATGTTGCTTATCACCCTGGGTAAAATTTTCTTCTTTATATTTTGGCATTAGTGGATCCTTAAGAAAGCATTTCCTGACCACCTATGTCAGTCTGGGTTCTTGGAGAAGTACACACAAGATTAAATGTGAAAAAAAAAATTGCTCAGACAGATGCCCAGGAAAGAAAATGATGGGGAGTGGGGAAGGCAGGGAGAGCCATTGGGTCCTATGTGGAAGAGATAAGGAAGGTTAAATAAAACCATCCTAGGCTGAGCCAGGGAAGTCCAAATAAGTCCTTCTAAGGAGTCTCCGTATCTGACACAGGTCACTGAGCTCATTCATCATTAAGAAGAAGCAAATGCCATCAAGGGTACCAGAGAGAGCACTTGGGACTCAACCACATCCCCATGCAGCTGAAGGGCCAGGAGGGACATATGGGAGACCACCTCAGTACCTGCTCCTCATTTGATGATATTGCTACACTGGTTGAGCTCATATAGCTTTTGATGATGTTTTTATCCCATGTTGTTCCTCTAAACACCAACCCCACAGGAGATTCTATTTGACCCAAATTAAATTTACAGGCAGCTACCATATACAAAGAAGTTACATGGTAGGAATGTAGGGTACCTGTGTGGATGAGATCCAAAGGTTAACATGTAACCCTCTCTTTGGTATATGAGAAAAGGGCTTCCTTCTATGTAGAATTATGACATGCCGGATATGCAAATCAGAGGTCCAAGAGTTCTTCTGGGTAAGCACTCCATCATGGCACCCAGGGAAAATGACAATATTTATATGGCCCACTGGGTTAAGCAAGAGGCTGCTTCAGGCCCCAAGCAGGGATTTGGCTGCCCTGAGAGTGATAGAAAGTCATTACCTCAGGCCACCTGAATAATCTGCACTACACCAGTTGAGAAGCTGTTTCAAGTGAGTTTAACTCAGAAATAGCATTAAGGTTTTACAGTTGATCTAGTGCAGAGCACTTTAGAAGAGCATCTGGCAGTGGATTAGCATTCACGGGATATATCCTTTTTTACATGATTAAATTTAAATTGTCTTTCGTATGAGTGTCTAATGACCTGTAGCATAGAGAAGCTTGAAGCAGTTTGAGCTTGCTCTGAGGTTGGTCTGCTCACCAGATGTTAGGATTCTTATACATGTGGTGTGTGAAGAATAGAAATGAAACAATTGATGTTTCTAGACCAGGGCCTCTGAATAGATTTTAGTGAATCAATGCCACCAAATCTTATCTGAATCAGATCCACCTTGAGAAGAAGTTCTACTTATAGGTTAAGCTGATTTCTTGACCACAATGTCTCCTGAACACTGATTCAAATACTTTTTAATTCGCCATCCAAGATGGATATGAAATACTTCTAATTCATACCATAGATTACTGTCTACTATGAATAAAATGAACTCAGTTCTGCACACACACTTTGTTGGTTTGAGAGTTTCCTGGGGCCAAAACGTACCGCTCTTTCCAGGTCGGTCTTGTAGGACCTATAGAGGGCAGAGGATGTGTTCTTAAGGTCTGCTGGAAATTCCACATTTAGTCTGACCTTCATTCTCAGGGTAACATCTGCTGAACAACACAGAGCAATACTTGAAAATCTCATGTTGATGTTTGAATACAGAGAAACATCTGCCTCAGCTGAAGTTGAATCACTCCAACAATATTCATGAGAAGGTACTTACCTCCCTGGAGCTGGCAGAAAGGTCCCTTTGAAGGAAGTCCCCTAAGGCAACTGCAGCGGTGCCCTGGGAGAGAGCTGCCTTGCTCTTGACAAGTGGGACTGTGGAGGCACCTTTCCTGAGGCCACCCATAGCCTGTCTCGCAGGAGCACCAGATCTCATTTCCAGTAGGCCTGCATACTATCATCAACAGGAAGAGGAGGACAGAGAAGGTAGTCACCACATTTGCATTTATAGACTGCAAGTATCCGTACTGGTAGGAAATCCTAACTTGACTTATTATATTGCTCTTCTGGGAAATTCCATAGGATTGCACAAGTTCCTGAACGCACATATGCCCCACAATGCCATCAGGCATGGCCATCAGAAAGATGGTGCTGAAATTATTGAGTGACTGATGACTGTAGAGTCATCTTCTGGTGGGTCTTGCCTAATAGCAAATGACCACCATATATCTATGATGATAAACATATTCTAGGACATAGTCGGTGGGAGCCAGCCTCCAAGAAGGCCCCTGCCCACCCCTGCCTTTGGGTATTCACACTCTTTTCGAGTGCTCTCTTCTACTGTACAAGGGTGGCCCCATGTGACCAATGGAATATGGTAGAAATGATGGTATGGAGCTTCTGAAATTAGGATATTAAAGACTCCAGCTTTCCTCTGGCTTGTTCCTCCCTGTTTCTCTCTCTCCATTTTCCTGGGGGAAGTTGGCTACCATGGCATGAAGACATGTCATGAAGAGGTCCACGTCGTAAGGAACTGAGATCTTTAGCTGACAGGTAGCAAGGAACTACAGGCTGCCAGCAACCACATAAGTGAACTTGGAAGTGGATTTTCTAGTTCCAGATGACTTCAACTCGAGCTGACAGCTCAATTACAACCTCATGAGAGACTTTGAATCAGAAGCATCCAACTAAGCTGCTCCCAGATTTCTGTCAGAAACTTCAAGATAAATAGTTCTGTTGGTTTACAATGCTAAGGTTTAGGGTAACTTGTTATGCAGCAGCAGATAACAGATACAGAAGGCAAATAAATTTGAGCCTTTTACATTCAAGTGTGAACAGGCCAAATGGACTCTGATCTCAGCGGGAACATCAAAAATGCTGTGAAAACAGAGTGCTTTTAAGTCGGTTTGTAAAAGCTGGTCCAAAGTCCTCTCATTGGAAGCTGTCCATTCTGCAAAGGATAACCTGGCCAAATCCTATGCAAATGAAAGCTATCAAATAGTCATTTCTGAAATAGGAAGGACAGGCAAGTTCCAATTATTCCTTGAACACGACACAATCCTGTCTCCCAGCAGTAGGTTGGAGTTGGCAGGAGTGTGAGGTACAGAAGAAATTATATGTGGGTGGCAGGCAATGGATGGGGGTAATTTGAAGAGAATCAAAAAAAATCTCTTTGTCAAAATCTCTTGTTGTCCTGAAATTTCACTGCTAAAGTGTTGGTTTTTTTATTTTGGGGAAGAAAAGAGATGAGGAGAAATATTTGAAAGACTTTAGACACCTGTGTACAATGCAATCATGGTTTGGGGGAATGACAAAGCTGTCATTTCCAAACCAACTAGTACTATTCTAGGTGTTGTTTAGTTGCTTTACACACACTGTATAACCTTAAACATCCTCAGTTATTCACTATTAATAAAACTGAATTTTTGGAAAGGATCATAAGGAAAGCCGTTGTATGGGAAGAGGACAATGGTTCTCAGAAATCAGTAGCAAAGCCCACAAGCCTGACCCGAATCACACACTCTCCCCATTCCCTTTGAGGCGAACTCTCCTTGGCTGTTCTCTGCTGGTCCTGAGGTTCATGAGTCTCAGGCTCTTTCTGCTCTGTTGAACCATAGTTGTTTTTTTTTTTTTTTTTTTTTTGTACTGGGGATTGAACTCAGCAGCATACGACCACTGAGCCACATCCTCAGCCCTATTTTGTATTTTATTTAGAGACAAGATCCCACTGAGTTTCTTAGCACCTCGCTTTTGCTGAAGCTGGCTTTGAACTTGGCAATCCTCCTGTCTCAGCCTCCCAAGTCAGTGGGATTATAGGCATGCGCCACCGTGCCTAGCTGAAGCATGTTTTTGTTTGTTTGTTTTGTTTTGTTTTGGCAGATCTCCTTCACAGTTAGATATCAGAAAGAATTCACTCTTTAATGTGTGCATGACCAGTCTTTCTGGAAGGACAGATTACACTTTCCAAGGGCAATTGCATTTTAAAAGGGAAACTTGTTAATTCAAGTTTCCAAAATCATTTAAATTATAAAGTCCTTTGAAGTCACATCAGTTCTAATAGAATAAAAGAAACGTGAGACAGTTTGCTCATATGTTTATATTGAGCACATGTGATATGAACTAACCTACTGACCAAGTGTCCATGATCACAAGGTATTCGATTAAAAATCACTTATTTATTGGATATCTACTGGTCTATTTTATTTACAAAATTTGCTTTATAGCACTACAGACACCAAAGGTTTTCATAAAAAGTTGGGAAGAAAAACAAAAGTGTTTAAAAATCTATCCAGTATTTACTTTTTTGCCTATAAATAGAAAAAAAATAATTTCAGAGACAGAGAATCTGTGTTGAGCAAGAACAGAGAGGGGTGTTTCCTATATATGTCCCAAAGAGTTTTATGAGCTATTCTATAAAGAAAAAACTCTATGCACAAATTCATTTGGGAAACAGAATAAACTCACCATTGCTGGAGGACCCACATATTGACATCCAATCCAGAAAACCACTAACTCAAGGAAATTAATTCCATGGTAGAATTTGTTGAAACATGGTATTCAAAGGGGCTTTAAGGGAGCTATGTCAGATTCCATTAGCATATACTTAGAATCAAAAATGAAAAAAGAAAGACCTTTATGGGGGTTGACATAAAAATGAGAATTGAAAAATAAGAATTTTATTCTTGTCTTCATTTTAGAATAATAAAACTCAACATCTGTTAGTGCTTTCCAGTTTACAGAGCAGTAACATTTTTAGGACAATGGGCAGCCTCATCTCATGGCCCCTTTGGGACACTAAGTCTCTGGTGATGGTTCCCTGAGACACAAAGGAGATGGCATGACTTTGGAAGTGAGTCAGTAACCAATCCAAGGCCTGAGAGGTTCTGCTTAATTCCTTGCTTCTGATCCAGATATGTGTCTGGCTTCTATTTCCTGACCTATGATTCCAAAAAGAAAGGAATTTAATACTTATTAATATCCTGAAACTGTCCTTGCTATACCCATTGATTGCCCTGGGGCAGAGGGTCCAATAATTTATCACGAAGGATCTAGTCATATCTTGGAACTTCACGGCAACCATCAGAGAGACTACTAAGCAAACCACTTCAAAGAAGGAAACTCTGGCTGCAGAGTTTACTGATAGGAGTTTATCCTGGGAGGCTGTGAAGTCATAAAATCACACCAGTAGACCTGTTGAGTCATTTCCCTTGCCTACTAAGTATAACATGCCCTAACAATAAGGATCTCAGTTAGCTTTTCTCCTGATACACCCAACCATCCATTCTAAAGCTTTGGGTGTCTTACTCACCAGTTGTCAGCTCTATGCTTAAAATATCAGTAGCTGGGTCAGTGTTGTTTCCTTGAATTGGAAAACTGAGGCTGTTCAAGCGAGCTCTGATAGACTCCACGAAGGATGTGTTTTCAAAACTGATCTCAATATCAACAGTGTACTCTTCCATGGCGGGACCACTTGTGGCAACTGAAATGCAAGCACACAAAGGTTGTGAGGACTTCCCACGGACATGGAGAGAAATCATGACAGATCAGTTAAAGGTATGTATGGATGCTGGGCACATCAGCCCATGAGAATTTCTAATGAACCCACTAAGAGAAAAAGATGAGTTTGTCTACTTTCTACTAACTCTGGATCTTGGTGTCCAAGGTCAAGGAGCATTGTGTGGAGAATGAACCATGACGGGCAAGAATGGAAGCAGGAAGAACCACCAGGGAGACTCTGGCAACAGTTTAGACAATGAAAGTCACCATCCTGACCTGCGGGAATGAGCCAGTGTGTTTCCCGCACCTTTCAGTTGACATACACACATTCTAAGAGCTGAACCATACATGAAGACCTCTGGGAAAGGTCACCTTGCTAACTTCTTTTGCCCTTAGCCTATGCACCCAGAACATCTGCTCTTTGTTCTTCCTTTATATATCTCCAGTGTCCAGAACACAATTGACAAAAATCTGGCAAATTGGAAAAGCAAAAGAAAAGAGATTTCTAGTTCTTCATTGCTTCCCAGAATTGTCTCCAGGTAGTTGCCTGCTGGCATTCTAAAGGGATCTGCTCCCCAACACACACCCACTCCAGGCTGGACAGACTATGTATAGAATGTATAATCTTAGAATAGTTCTTTGTTGGTTTCCTATATTACATCATGTCTCAGTCATTATTGGTAAGCTTCCCAAGGGCAAGAACTGTTTCCTCCACTTCTCATGACCTTACTTACCAAAAGGGTCTGGAGCTCACCAGCTAATGGATACACGCCCAATCCTTATGAAGTCTGCTTCTCTGAATCTACTCATAGACTCACCTCTCTGTCACCAAGAAAATCTTTGACCCTGTCTTGGCTATAATATATAACTAAACAGAAGCTATGGGCTCAGCTTGTAGTTTATAAAGAAAGGCCAAAAATTAAGACTGTTTCACACACATGCATTGAGAATATTTTAAAACGAGACGGGGGCAGCAGTAACTACTTGCAAAATTATTACTTTCAAATTTACATCAAATCTGAAAGCATGGTATGTATTTTGCCATAAAATTAAAATTTGATATCTCCTTTCTAAAAGACAACATTTTTCCCCATAATATTGTAAGATTTATTTTGAATAGTCTCAGGACTATTGATGTGAAACACTATGAGAAAGTTTATTATGGGAAACTCCAGTTGTTAAATGTTTATTGCAGAAAGCTGCATTATTTGTTCTGCCTCATTTATTCCCTTGGAGTTGTAAACTATGTTTATCCTAGGAGGTTGGTTTTACCCATTGACTTTGTTGAGTATTATTTCCTTGGGCATCATTGAAATCTCTGTAATTAACTCAAACTATAGAAAAGGTCTGTGCAGATAGATGTTGTAGGAATGCATTTTATGATATATTTGTATACTTATAAAGATGGATTATACGTTTTAAAACAATACAGGATCTCAGTCTGTTGGGATACTACAGCATTGCCTCCAATTTCCTGTTTTCTTCTGGATGTTCAAATGGTTCTGTAATGAAAGTAAGCTTCCTGGAAGAACTGCTAATCATAATTTGTGAGTTTAACCCTGGTCACATTATGTTGCCCAGTGGGAACATCTGCAAAGAGGGCAGCTGCCTGATATTTACAAAGCTTGCCTTGGAGCACATTCTTTTTCCTAAAAAGTAATGCAGTGATGTTTATCCCTCACTAGCTTCAGGATCCTCTTTGCTGAAGCCTGTCCTTCTGTAAGTATAAACAGGATTTCCTGGACAGTGGCTGTTTGGGATGGGTGGGGTCAATAACAATTCCTTATCACACTCTTCATCATCTATCTACATGGCTGCATCACAGAGTCGGATCTCAGCACATTATCAATTCCTGGGTCCTGTGCAGCCCCCTTGTGCCTGAAGGGAGCTGATACCTAACTTATCCTTCACATCACCCAATGATACTGGGCAAATCAAAGGCAATGACAGTAACAGTAACAATTACAATAGCAGGTGCCATCTGTTCATCACCCAGAAGTCTCTGGGGCCACAAGGACAGTATGCATACACTTCCATGTTGCAGATTCACAGAGTTGAAGGCACAGGATAATGAGTGGGACAGCTGGGATTCGCAAGCACAATTTTCTGAATCCTAAGTCCCTTTTCTTTCAATCATAACCTACCACAATGAAGAAGATAACAAACCTAATCATTGTGTAAAGTCCAAAGTAGCATAAAAATATAAGGTATCATTGTTAAATATAGCCTTAAAGGAAATTAAGAATTCCTAAAATAAGTTATTAAATAAAATCAAGCTCAAAAGCTAAAATTATTCATAATAAATGGATGAACCATGAAAAATTTTATTCATGTTTTTTGACCATAATAAATCTAGAAATCCACAGTCAGGAGAAAAGTATCATGACCCGCTGTTATCAGTGCAAGTGGATTTTGTCAGTAAGTCTTGCCAGGTTAGTTTGTTTGTTCCTTGATTTATTGATTTATATGTAGTTATTCTACTTCTTAGGTGTCCATTTCCTGGCACTGTGCTAGGTGCTGGGAGCATTGTGTTAGTCAAAGACACAAAATCCTGACTTCATGAATCTCTCATTCTTATGCTGGGGCCAATGATTAAGTTTGCATTCTTACATCAGGCAGCTCTGTAGGAGAAAAATAAGGAAGAACAAACAGACAGAATGACAGGGATCATGGGGTGGGGAGTTAATTTTTGTAGCATGATCAGAAAAGACCTTCCTAAAGTAGTAAACTTTGAATAGAGACTCGAAGTGAGCGGTGAACCTGAAAGCCATTGGGAGAACATCACTCTCAGGAGGGCAAAGGAGCAGGAAAGTTCTGAGTGGCAACCCTCTAGGCTCATTTGAGGGCTAAAGAAGACATGCTTCCTTCTTATCACCTTTAGACCTTAGAACAGCATCAAGGACCCAGGAGGACCACCTGTATGTGTAGGAGGTAGCCCCAATGCTCAGGGGTCAGCATGCCCCATGTGGGAGGGGGTCAGCAGCACACTGTCTCAGTCCCCTCAAACAGGCCCAGAAACTCAGGTTAGAAATGCCAGCCCCTGCTTTCCTATGCTCTTTCAACCCAGGAACTTCCAAGCCTGGAAAACTGATGCTCCTTGTCCTGTTCCAGGCTGCAAAGGACCCAGGAAGAACAAAGAACAGCTCTCCCACTTCTGCCTGTGTATGGTAGATGCCCTTTACCCTCCTCTGCAGCTGCTGACAGTTTAGTGTGTGTGTGTGTGTGTGTGTGTGTTTTCCCTCAGTCTCCTTTGCCCCCTGTGTTGTTTGTCTGACTTTTTCTGGCTCACCAATGCCCTTCAGTGGAAGGCAGCCAATCCCAGGGGTCAGCATCCATAGACATAGGCGTATCACAAGCCCAGGAGGCACAAACCTACCAGGATTTCCCCTCTCCTTTCCCATAAGTCACTGCCAACCTCATACCACTTATCTTAAAGAGACATTTCTGGAAAATTGGCCACAAAGGGCAACAAGCAGTTCTGTGTCTTAATCACAGCTGTTTAAGCAAACAATACTACTTTTGCCTAGCAACGCTGGTGGGAACAGTGGCTTCTCAGAATCAGAGCCTCAGCAGATGCATAAATTAATCTCCTACCTGCTGATGAAGGAAGCTTGATGACTTCACCCTAGAGAAAGGAGTTGGTGACCAAAGGGACAATGCTTCTTTATCCTGATAGAAGGTGGTGATTTGACTGCAGTTGTCTATATCACACCTTGCCACCGGCAGATACAAAGGATCTATTCTCTTTTGAGTTTTAGAAAGGTTTGCTCACACAAGAAGGAAATGCCAGAATTCCAGTCTATGGTTTACCCAGCAGGTGTGGATGGAGGAGGAGGTTGGCACCGTGCATCATAGAACCCTGGATTGTGAAGTCTGGAGCAGATGATCAAGTCTACCAGCTAACCATGAACCCCAAACATCCAAGTTAGCCCCACATAAAGTGAGATGAGACAGACCTAGTGAGTTGAAACAGGTCTGCGAGGCCTTTTCACTCTACGAAACTGCCCTAAGAGTCATGAAATGGGACCACATAGGCAAGAACCACAACCACATGTTGAAAACTGTACTTTGACTTGTACTTTGGAGCTTCAGAGAGCAGAATGGAAGGTCTTCTTTCCTGGGCCACTTGTTTAAATTCTGTGAGCTACACTTTGTTCATCTGTAAATTCAGAGTAACATTTTTCTGAACAGATGTTGTTAAGGAATTGGATTCCTACTAACACACAATAAGGGAGGGGGAAGAATTGAAATTCATTGGATTAGACAGAGGAATGAAGGGGAATGGGATGGGAATAGGAAAGAGTAGAATGAATCAGACAGAACTTTCCTATGTTCATATGTGAATACACGACCAGTGTAACTTCACTTCATGTACAACCACAAGAATGGGAAGTTATAAAATAGTCTTAATATTCAATGTCAAGCTCCAAACCAACACACACACTAGTCAGAGAGCCCAGAGCCTTCCAACTCATTCTACCACCAGAGCATAGAGCACCATGTGTTATCACAGGAAAGATGATAGCCACGGAAACCCAAACCCTGTTCCTCAAACTGGGAAATGCTCAGCATTTCCTGGCCCCACATCAAAAAAGGCCAGCAGACCCACACTGCCAGGTCTACTGAAAAGTCAGGATTTCCGTATGGGCAGCTGGTGACCTGATCTTGTAGGGATCTGGTTCTGACTGAAAGGTGAAGAAATGTCACCCAGCCAGTACAGGCTCTGGGCATCCTGCCCCCCTCAGGCTGGACTCCACTCACCCTTGTCCTCTGTTTCCCACCAGTCAGTCCTTGGGAAGCCAAAGAAAAACCAGTGGGGTCTCTTCAGGGCCTCTGAGACATGCTTCCCAATGAAGCTCTGAGACCCAGGGTGAAGAACTTTTGCAACTGACATTTGTGCTAGTGCTAAGCAGTAAGAAATGTCCATTTTCAGTCCACTGTGAAGATTCCCCTTTAGACTTAATTTTGAGCTTTTCTGCAGACCTCTACAGTAAGCCTTTCCTTCCAACACAGGCCTCTTCCTGTGGCCTCCTCAGCACACAGGGTCCCAGATTTGTGCTCTCCTGGACAGTCATCTGGACCATTGCTCACCTTTATCCCCAGCCAGTCACGTTGACTCCAGCCCTTTGGTGCCATTTCTCAAATGGTCTTAGGCAGGTGTATCCTCTGTTTCTTTTTTATCTTTCTCCACAGCCAGGGACCCATGTCCAGGCTGCTGAATCTCCTAGTTGGTCTCTCAGGCAATAATTTGTTCATCTAATCCATCCATAATCACTGGAATCGTGTGGCTTTTATCAGTCACTCTCTGTGCCAGCCTCTCAGCCAGCAAGGATGCACTTGCTGATGTAGCTCTTCAGGCTTCCACACATGCTTGTCCCTCTGCCCCCACCAGCCACACTGCTCTCACAGGCTGTTCCACACTTATTCTTATCTCTGGTCTCTGGGTTTGTATGCAGGTTTCTATTCCCAGTAGCACTGGGAAAGAGTTTTCCCAAAATGCTAAGTCCTATGTCATGGCACCCATTTTTCCATATTCAAGTAGTGATCTGGAACTGATCAGGATACCCCTCTGTGCTAGGCCCCGCCTATTGACTTTGTTTTTAATTTTAAAAAATTATTTAAAAAAAAAGAAAATAAACCCCAGATAATTCTATTAACATTTCCAAAGTAGTATGTACAAAATAACATCATTTAATCCTCTCAACAACTGTATAAAGAGCTGGGCACAGTGGCACATCTGTAATCCCAGCAGCCTGAGAGGCTGGGGCAGGAGGATAGAAAGTTCAAAGCCAGCCTCAGCAACTTAGTGAGGCTCTTAGCAACTTAGGGAGACCCTGTTAAAAAAAAAAAAGGCAGGGGGTGAGGGGAGGCTGAGGATGTGGCTCAATGGTTAAGTGCCCTGAGTTTAATCCCTAGTACCAAAATGAAACAAAATGAACAAACAAAAGCAAAAAACCCTGTAAGGTTATGACTGTAATAAATTGTGTGGGTAGGTGTGAGATGCCAATATATAACATATATGTGACATATATATGTGATGTATATATGATATGTATGTGTGTGTGTGTGTGTGTGTGTGTGTACGCACGCGTGTGTTTCTTAGGAGGTCAGTGAGACTGTGCAACTGACTTAGGTTGAAGTCCATACTATATTGAAAATAAACACAAATTTATTCTACCTTTAAATATGATTTAATCCCAAACTCTAAATATTTGGTCCAGAAGCTCAAAAGAAAATTCTTGACCTATTTTCTTTTTCTTGGAAACTTAATATGCTTGTGACTATCATGAAGCCTTCAGAAGGGGAGATATATATATACCCATATATACACACATCCATACAGGAAAGGGAATGCCACTCAGGATTAGAGCCCAGACCCAGCACCTCACTTTTTTGGCACCCCCAAAAAACAGAGACACCTTCACATGGCATCCTGCTAGAGGAAGCGCTCCTGTTCTTTCCTTTCGTCACTGTCCTGGAAAGCCAGGCTCTTTATTGCTACTTACATTCCTGATTTCAGGGGCCTTGCAATGAGCCTTTCTATGGTCATTTCTTACTTCAGTGATTTTGTAAAAGTACCAAGTCCAATCCATCTTCTGCAGATGATGGGCTGAATCATTAACACTTCCCAAATGACTTGAGAGGCCCAAGAGCTCAGAGGACCATGTATAATAAATGGAAAACATATTTTCAGGGTGATTTATCATTGTCATAATTGTTTTGTAATGAAAGCATGCCTGGAAAAGTTTTGGAATGTCAAATTCTTAGATATGGAGGTAGTTTCTTCCCCACTGGCTACCCCTCCCACTGCCACAGTGGGTCCCATAAACATCAGGCTCAGGAGAACAGGGAAAATTACCTTTTGCAGCTGTGGGGTAAAACTGCTTCTGAGGATGCCAGCAGCCTGAGCCCTGGAAGAACTTGGTAAAAAGACAGAGCTGAAGCTCACCCACAAAAGAGTTTGATTAAGGGGCTGGGGTTGTGGCTCAGTAGTAGAGTGCCCGCCTCACAGGTGCAAGACCCTGGGTTTGATCCTCACTCAGCACAACATAAAAATAAATAAGTGAAATAAAGGTATTGTGTCCAACTATAACTAAAAAATAAATATTTTTAAAAAGAATTTGATTAGTAATAATAATAAAAGTCTTTCAAGCTAGGTGTGGTGGGTCACAGCTGTAATCCTAGTAACTCAGGAGATTAAGGCAAGAAGATTGCAAGTTCAAGGCCTGCCTCAGCAATTTAATGAGACTCTGAGCAACTTAGTGAGATCCTGTCTCAAAATAACAAATAAAAATGGACTGGGGATGTGGCTCAGTGAAAGTGCCCCTGGGTTCAGTCCTTTGTATCATTGAAAAAAAAAAGTCTTTCAAAACCCCAAATTGCACATCTCTGGCTCTGTACCCATCACAGGGTACAAAAATGCTCAAGGGGTTGTCAGAGGGGAAGCGGCAATGATATCTGTGTCAAAGCACAGTAAGTTCTAGCTATGACAGGCCACTTCAGGGAAGGAGAGGACCCTCTGGATTATGCTAGGATAACAGAATGAAGGCTAAGTGAAGGAAAAGAAAAGTAAAGGATCAGAGAGGAGACAAAGAAAGGGAAGGGGAGGATGGGAGAGGAGAGAAGGGTCAGGGCAGGGAGAAGAGGGAGGGTATCCCAGCAGTGTTAGGACTTTCCAGTGAGCATTTTGAGGGTTTAATAAATTGTGGTCCATTTCTCATTTCCATCCCTGAGCAACAGTTGGGTCTGGCTACTGACACGTGAAGGGCTCTCACAGACACCTGTGTTTTGACCTCAGGGCAAGGCTGCTCTCTTTAGCATTCTTGTGTCTCTTTTGGAACACGAAGCTAAATAAAACATGAAGCTAAATAAATCAAGTTGCAATATGCCTAAAAATGATTCAATCATAATGGGATAGGTTAAGAAGTTTCATCTCCCAGAGAGGAGGCATTGCCCTTTGGCCTGCAGACATTTACCAATAGAAATTCAGAAAGAGATAGCTAGGGCATACACATGTGAGGTTTTCATTTGTTTGCTCTGAGGGAGGAACTAGGCTCCATGCCAGGCTACAGAGACTGAAGAGGACTCAAGGGAGCACCCAACTACTAGGGATGGCACACAGGAAGTACAATCTTTACAATGGGCTGGGGCAGATGCAGAGATAGGAAATGTTTCAAGGGTGATAAGAAACCAGGGAAAGCATCCCTGACAGTCTGGGGAATGGGTGGATGGAAGGTCTTGCCCAGCAGGAGCTCAGGAAATTTGGGATGTAAGCAGGAGTCCTCCAGCCAAGCAAATGGAGATGTCAGGCAGCAACCGTCCATGTGAAAGGGAACAGAAGGTGATCAAATGGAGAAAGCATTTCAGAAGACTCCAGGAGCTATGAACAGATGATTGGCTTTTAGCTCTAAGTCACTCCCAAGTTCATGAAGGCCTTTATGGAGAGAAATGACAGGTTCATTTCTCTGAAAAGTTTATTTGATGGAGATGGGAAGACCGGGGCCCCAGGAATCCAGCCTGTAGATGTGCATTGACACCTCTGCAGGGTCATGCACTTGGGACCAGATGCCAAATGCTATGATTCAAATGTGTCCCCAGAAGTTCATGTGTTGGAAGTATAATCTGTCTATTTAGATGTTAATGTTATTTAAAGGTGGGACCTTTGAGAGACAATTAGGATTAGATGAGGTCATGAGTATGGGGTCCTCTGATAGCATTAGTAGCTTTTTAAGAAGAGCAACAGTGACTCAAGTTAGCACCTTCCTATGTCTCACCATGTGATGCCCTCTACCCTGTCATGACACACAGGAAGCTACCCACCAGATGCTATGCTCTCAGACTTGCCAGCCTCCAGAATTGTGAGACAAATAAACTCCTATTCTTTATGAATTACCTGGTCTCAGATATTTCTTTATAGCTACCAAAAACAGGCTAAGACACAAAGATCAGTGTTTCTGTCTGTGCTTACAGCTCTCCATAATCCAAACTCTCCAAAGGACAGAGTCTTATATTTTCCAGACTACTTCTTTGCAGTTTAGTGGAAAATTAGAGCGGGAAATAGGAGAAAGACTGGAGTCTAGTGGTTAGTTAGGTTGGTTCACAAAGGATTGAACGAGAGAAATTTTTAAAAGATGAGAAGAAAAAGTTGCTGGGTTGGGAGGACAGAAACAGACTTTTGAGTGGTTCTGGGGGACAGTTGAAGAGAGAGCCACAGGGAGGCCCTGGGGATAGGAAGATGAGAGAGGAAAGAGGATCGAAATATGTTGCAATGATCCATTTATTCATTTGATCAAGTAGAAAACGGAGTTCCTTTGTACTTTTGGCAATCAAACTGCACTGTTTGACTCTGATGTTCTTAGAGACTGAATTATGGAGACCATTGTGTTTTTAAAAAGTTATAACACATTTCATTTGATTGGACTTACAAAAGAGACCACCATGCGAGCCAAATGTACATACCTGCTCGTTTTTGCCTTAGTGGTTCTACAGCAGTTAGTTCATGTTCCTGGAGAACCTGAAAGAACATTTTAGAAAGTTGTCAGTTAACAGTAAGAAGTCTTTTCACTTGGTTTCCTGCTCATGTGCCCGTAGGTATTTGAGCTGAGCTTAAAGCTGTGGAGTTTGGGTCAACATCATGCACCCAGGGATGACAGGCAGACAGGCAGCAATGGAATGGTCAAGAAAATCACGAATTCACCTCTGTAGTGTGACCTAGGAGTGCACTTTCTATAGACCATTCTCAAGATCCAAAAGCAAAAGAAATCAATCATTATAGGTGAGTTTCTTAGTGTTTCTGCAGTTTGAGTTCTGTCAAGAAAAGTAAGTGATGATGTTCTAAACTTGTGTTCTTCCACCTAAGACTTAAAGCCTGAATCATTCCACTGCCTTATTAGACAGATCTATTTACTCTTTTCAGAATCCCGTCTGGCCGCACCTTGACATTTCTGCTCTATTAGGGCTTAGGAACTATGATTTCCTCCTCTAGTCCTTTTTCTCTTAGATGATTCTATTGGTATTTGTGGTAAAAACTAGGAGAGCCTGCTCTAGACTCAGACTGCCTGCACTCAAGGCTGGGCCACTTTACTAGCCATGCGAACTTGGGGAAGTTACTTATCTTCAATGAACCTCAGCGTTCTTTTCTCTAAAATGGAAATAATAGTGCCAACTTTCACAGGATTGTTATAAGAATGAAGCAAACTATAATATGGCATATTTGTAAGCTCTTAGTACATTTTAGTTATTATCACCTGGTACAGTGGTTACAAGCAAGAACTCTGCAGATGTTCAGTTCCAAGCCTAGCTTTATTATAAAATGGATCTGTGACTTTGGGCATATTCCTTAACATCTCTGTGCCACAGTCCTAACCAAGAGTATGATCTACTTTATAAGGCTGTTGTAAAGATCAAATGATTACTAAATGGAAAGAACTGAGAGTAGCTTTGGTTACATAGTAGGAGACTGGATTTGTCTCAATGAGCCAGTCTTTCTTGGCTCAGCGGGAAATTTCTCTCCTTCTTCTGCAACCTCCTACTCTCTCCTCTTCCTTTTCCATGAATAGTTCCCCTGGCTTTTCTCCCTGCCCTTATTAAGTTACACTTATTAGATAAGGCCCATTTACAGCTCTGTGGGAGCTTTTGTCTTTCCTCTCCCTTATGCCCTTGGGAGACTCAGGTTGAAGGAAGTATTAAAGTCAGTAGGAAGTGGGGTGGGACCGTGTACCTGGACATTCATAATTGCCCTTGGAGAAATAAATACAGGCTTGATGGATGATGATTGGAATTTGGAAAGCCTAGTCTCTGCTCTCTTGCACTGAAGTTATTTTAGAAGTACTTAAGTATGCAGGAACTGAAGGCGCAAAGTCAATGTATAGACTGGTTCCTGCTGGCTTCCTCTGGAACCTGCTTTGGCCCTGTGCCCAGGCAGAGGGAAGGTTCTTCCGGACATTCCTGACTTCATCCTCCCAGGGACCTGGGGGCAGGGAGCAGGTGGTTACCAGGAAGCTTCTCTGTCTGCTACTTGTGGGCTGTGGTTGGGGGACTCACAAGCCCAGGAGAACGTGACTTTCAGAGCTTACATTTGGAAGCTTTCCCAGATCAAATTTTATTGTCCCTGTTTTCCAAGGGGGACTTGCTGCTGTCTGCTGAATGTTACAATCAAGGTCCATTTTAGTTCTCTAATGCAGGGCATTTAAAATCCTGGCGAGAATGAGAATCACTTGCCTCCTCTTCCCCCAGTCTGATTCAATAGGTCCAGGGAAGGTGGAGAAAACTGGCCTTTTAACCAGCATATTCCTAGGTGTGAGGCCACTTTTATGGGAAACACTGCCTTTTGAAGCTTTCTTGAGTCTTTATGGTGATCATCTGCAATTCCAGCACATAGAATGTTTGAAACTTCCTTTGCAAAGTGCTGCTTCTACATCCCTGTCACCTCCCACTTTTGTAGTCAAGTGAGAATTCACAGCTTCTCATGAGAGGAAACTACTCTTTCAGTTAAGCCTGCAGTCATCAGAGCTAATGCAGAAAAGACCCCTGACTGCAGTAAAGCCTCAGGGAGTTGGAGGAGGAGGTAGTGGTGGTGGTGAGTAACCCCACTGTCCCAGATTTGAGAAGGTGCAAAGAGCTGGGCTGCCAGTCATGGGACCTGGATTTGAATACAGAAGGTACTGGAGTCACACCATGAACTGATTCTCACTACTTCAGCTCCCTACTAGCTGGAAAAGTCATTTACTTCTTCTAAGCCTCAGTTTCTCACATTATGAAAAACAATCTGCACAGACGCATGTCATTCATGAGGGAGAACAGGTCCCCCTAGGCTCAGAAGGCTCAGCTGCATATTTACTTCAGACAAGAAAACAGGGCTCCCTGCCACCTCCCCCTGCATGTTCTGTGCAGAGGAACCCAGATGAGGATCTGAGCCACAGAGGCCAGCTCTGTCCATCCGGAGGGGATTTCCTGATGGCTGAGCCGGAAGAGACAAGGTCACCAATTCCAGGAAGCGCCCCACCTTTCAGACATGATGACTTTCCAAATAACTGTGGTGGAGGTGGAGCAGGGTGGCCTGAAGCAGGGTGGGCAATTAGTCAGGAATGAGAGGTGGCTTTGAACTCATGAAAAAGAAAATCCCCAGGGAACAGGATGGCAAACAAGGAGGTCACCAAGCCCCTGCCCCTGCATTTCAAATCACAGTCCTCCTCCCTGGAGTCCACCACCCGCTCCTCTTCTTTTTGACCTGGAATCCCAAGTTTATATCTTTGCTGCCATGTTGTACAATTATCTCAGTAACAGTCCTATTAGAATGTCCCCTTACAGAAGGATATTAACATAGGGATTTATTTGTAGCAGAATATTAAAAATAACTACCAATTCAGAAGCCCTGGTGCTCTGAGCTAGTCACAGTGCTAAGGCATACATGTCTCAATGTTTAATCCTCACAACAAACCATTTAGGGAGATACTGTTGAGTCTTATTTATGGCAGAGGATTAGCTTCAGAGAGATGAAAAAACTGAATGAAGTCTCAGAAATTAGTGGGAGTCAGAGTCGGGCTTCAACCCAGACCTGCTGCCAATGAAGAACACATACAGGCTTGCTACTTTGAGGGTGGTCACTGGAGCTGGCAACTCTCCGACCCCACTCTGGGCTTACCCTGTTGAAATCTATATCTTAAGAGGTCCCCTGGAAGAATTTGAGTTGGAGAAGCAGCAGGCTAGACTGTTGCACTTGACAAATGCATCCCTCAATTCGAACCCAGCAGCCTTATTCCCAATAAGCAAGAGATGGAACCAGCCCAAGTGCCATGGGTGGATGATGAATGACTAAAACATGGCACAGACTTACAAGGGAATTTTATCCAGTCTTAAAAGAGGAGGGAAATTTTGTCATAGGCTGCAACAGGAACGAATCTTTGAGGACATTATGCCAAGTGAAATAAGCCAGGCACAAAAAGAGAAAATATTGCATGATTCTGTTTATATGGTACCTAATGTAGAGAGTAGTCAAATTTCATAAAGACAGAATGTAGAATGGTGGTTGCCAGGGACTGGGGGAGGAAAGGGGGAGAGTTGTTGTTCATTGGGTGGAGTTGCAATTTTGAAAGGTGAAACAATTTATGGAGATTGACTATGCAATGATGTGAATGCATGTAAAACTACCAAAATGTTCATTTAAAACTGGTTAAGATAATAAATGTATTTTATGTGGGCTTTTTTTGGTTATTGTTGTTGTTGTTTAAAAAGCTCAGGTGTTGCACTTAAGAAAGTGAAAAGTCAGCTATGGGAACTGGACAGCAGTTTATTGTAGTATAAATTGATCAGGCTAAAGTGAATCTCTCCAATGGGGCTCCTCAGCCTTTGGGTTATATGAAGACAGTGTATCTTTAGGGCAGATCTAGATGGAAAAGTGGGAGACTTTGGGGTAGGCAAGCAGTGGAAGTTTCCAGAGAGACAAAGTTCAAATTCCACCAACTACCCTAAGAAGTTAGTTGTATGCCTTGAGCGCCTATGTCACCTGGCAATGAAGGGACTTTTTTCAGACTGTCACTATAAACATAGATTTGAAGTAAAGGGAGGAAAAAAGAATCTTGAAACAGAAGAAATCTAACCATGTTGCACAGATCAACATAAGCTCTGACTTTCTCTCCACATACCTTGAATAACCACACTGACCCTGTGAATTCAAAAGTATAAAGTTCCCCTCCTCTATTTCTATGAGCAAGCTGCCACATGACATTGCACAGATTATACATGAGTACTGGAGGCTAAGAGAAGACACCCCATGTATACCCTCAAAGTCATAAGTTTACAAAAAAAGCAAAAAAAAAAAGACCAAGAAAACTAGATTGAACAATAAAAGACCTAAAACAGAAAGAACAATGAGAAAAAGCTCAAACATATTTTGTTTATAAGAGAACCATTAAAGCAGAATAATACACTAAAGGCTAAACAAAAATTAAAGGACAAAAACCAGGCAAACAGAAATAGAGAAGAAGGATTGACAATTGGAATAGAAGACAAAGGATTGCATCAAAAATAGCCACGTAGAACAAAGAGACAGATTTTGCAAAGCTAAAATGTACCACTGAAACTCTAACAATAGTGATAGAATAAAATAGAACTGCAATATCTGAAACAAAAAGAATCAATAGGAAAATATAGTATTCCAAAGTGAGACACAAAAATAGCTAATACTGCTGTGCTGTTTATTATGTAATGGGCTTGAATTTAAGGCCTCTTCAAACTAGTTCAAATCTCATAACCATCATAAGAAGTCAGTACTACTGCCAGCATGATTTTATAGATGAAGAAACTGAATTACAAATCTTCCAAGATTTCTCAACCAGTTTCATACCCTGTCTCTAGAGCAGGGAAAAACCTAAGCAAGGAATAATCAAGAATTCTCATAAGGAGTAAGGGGCACTTGTCACTCCCTTGACTTAAGCTAAACTCTGTGGACCTTCCAAAAGCAAACAACCTGGACAACTGTCGCAAAGTTCTTAGATGATATCCATGGACTCTCGAGCTACAGCAATCTGTGACCATGACATGCATGCAAATCAATGTCTTTTGAAATATGTTCTAGTCTGATGCTCAAGAAGAATCCTTTGAGGACATAAAATCTGTGCTTGGTCCTCCAAATTTGCTTTATTGTCATTGTCATTGTCACTGTGTGGAAGCCTAGAGGTTATGACTGAGTTAAGGTGGCCATCCTGGGAGATCTGTCTTACGTTGCACTTATGTTCCCTTGATACCACCACCGATTTCAGAATATGGCAAGATGTGGCCTATAAATACACTAACATCCATTAACATCCAGTTGTCACCTCATTTACAACATTTTCTCAAAATCCCTTCCCAATTTCTTTGAAGAACCATTATCCTGTCTGTGACATTCCCAGGAAATCAGAGAAATGTGACAGGAAAATTATAGCAGACATGGGTTTACTCACCGAAGGATGGATAGCAGACTCTAAGTTCAGTGTCGCTTGGGAAGAATAAATCACAGCAAACATGAAGCACAAAGTGGTTCTCCTCTGGGATTTCATTTCTTCACATTCAAGTTGTTTTCCCTAAAATGGAAACAGGATGTCTTAGAGATACCAACTTATTTATTACACAAGGAAAGAAGTAGCAAATCCTGACTTGAAGGTACAAGTGAATGTGAGAGAGTAGTCCCTGCCTTAGAACCTTGGGTGAGGAAAGATGGAGTGGGGCAAGGGAAGGCAGGTGGCCCCTGCTCATGAGCACAGGATGGTAGTGGGTATCCGGGTATGTTTCCTACATACATGGAGAGAAGAAAAGAGATGGGAGGACGATGGGAGAAAAAGAAAGCAAGAAAGAGGGAGGGATTACAGTAAGAAACGCCTTTCCTGTTGTGATCCAGTACACAGAGCACATGCACAAAAGGATTCAGAGAACACTACTCACTTTGCTACAAGTGGTGTACGTGGATATTTTCAACTCTATTCCATCCTATTTTGCCCTGTTTTTCTTTTAATTCTGGTAGGAGTCCATTACATTGACTTAATAATTTATATTAATAGGCTATGACTCATTATTATGAAAACTCCTGGACTTAGTCATAAAAATATAAGTTTATAACATGGTAGCATATTAAATATAGAATACATAATATTAATATCACAATATATCTCAGCTGATGTACTTATTTTTGTAAATTGTCTCTTTATAATGCTGGTGGTGAAAAATGCACCATTTTTGGTAACCAGATTAATTATTATTACATTTAAAAATCAGGGTATTGCATGGAATAATACCAACCCTATTACCTCTGGAGACAAAGACAGTCTACTTTTGGCAGAATACTTTTCTCACTGGCCTTTTATACCCACGTGTTTGTTCAAAGAACAGTAGACTCTGAGACAGAGGATGTGGGTTAGGATACAGCATTGCTATAATTCACTGTGTCCTTAAGTAGTAGGTTACTTGTATTAGCAGAGTCCAAGTTTCCTCACCTGTAAAATGGAGGTAATTATACATAGGGATAATATATCCCTAATTCTTTCACAGAATTTTCTGAGGCTCTAATGAGATTAAAAATCATGAAGAGCTCCAGAAATGCAGGCTGCTGTGATCACCACTCTGATGATCAGAGGAATTCAGAGGGTGGACATCAGAAGGGAGTCAATGAAGGGCAACCTTAGGGCAGTCACCAGGAAGGGCAGACCTTGGCGAGGAGTCAGGGAGCACCAGGAAACCTTGGCCAGGATAATACACTAGTGTTGGCCAAGATTTACATGCCAGAGAATTGTATTTCAATCACCAGCTGCTGACTGCCTCCTTTTCCTCTTCCCCCATGAAAAGCAGGGGAGCAAAGGGCTTTGGAAAACTGACCCACTTAGTAGATCTGGCTATCAAATACATTTTTTAAATTCTGCAACTCAGTGGTTTTGGGAAGATGCTCTGCAATTTTGGTTATGGGAAGAGATGTTTAATACCAGGTGTGTCTGCTGTAGGGAAATCAGAGCAATGAGTTACTAAGTTCTCCAATTAGAAATTTTCTCTTCCTTATTAAAAGATTAAAAGAGAGTAGGCTCTTGTGGGTATAGGATAGTCTTTAGGAGGCAACTTCATCTTTTCAGGCCCCAACTTAGTACAGGTTACTAGCTGGTTCCATACTAGACACCTAATCAAAGGGATGAGACTGCATAGTCAATGAACCTCCTGAGTACCTGACCCACAGAGAGGCACTCGGGTACCAAAGGGACTAGAGCAGGCTCTGTATCTTTTCTTTCTTTCTTTTCTTCTTCTCCTTTTTGTGTGTGTGTGTGTGTGTGTGTGTGTGTGTGTGTGTGGTGCTGGGGATTGAACCTAGGGCCTTGAACATGCAAGGTAAGCACTCTACCAACTGAGCTATATCCCCAGCCCTGGCAATGTATCTTTCTGTCATTTCTTTATTTTGGTGGTACATTCCACTCCCCCTGCTTCTTTTTTTTTTTTTTTTTTTTCGGTTAGAATTAGCAAGATTTATACTGTCCCCAAATGGTCATGTCTGGTCCCTGTGTACAGGCCAATGGCCAATAGTGTTCCATTTTCCCCTTCCTGTGGTATCCCCTGAGACAGTTCTTGATAAAATCAGCATTCTTTTTTCTGTTGACTCATTTGTTGACTTCCCCCCACCCCAAAATCACAATTCCAAAGAAACAGAGATAAAGAAAGGACCCCACCATGGGCAGGGGCTTGTTGTCTGGATCAGTTTCACAGTAGGGTGAGGGGTTCTCCACTTGAATGAAAAGAGAATGACGCCACCACTTTTGTTGGGGGGGCAATAGTCACAATATTTGACACCAGTGTGGCACATGATACAGTTGGAGATTACTTCAGCTTTCAGAGTTGCTGCTACATTTGGAGAGAAGCCTGAAGACAAAGCCATAATCTTACACAAACCCTCCAGCTCACAGGTGTTCTCAACTGAGGAAGCCAACAGAGATGTCAATTCAACTAATGGGAAGAAAATCCATAATCTTCTAGTTAAAAACATGAAGCATCCCTGCCCACATTCAAGGCAATTTGTCCTCAGTAGGGCGCCTTTGATAGTAAGTCCCCTACAAGTTCCTAAAGTTTTTGAAGTTCCTAAAGATTTCTGAAGTATAGGGTGACAAAGACTGAGAGAGACAAAGAACGGCAGGGAGAGAAAGAAAATTATCTGGTGTCATTTCCAATCTCTTTCTCTTTTTAAATTAAAATACTAGACACTATTCAAACTCCCTGACTTCTATAAGCTGGCTATATCTAGGAAAGGCTGGGAAATATGATCTAATCCTCAGGTTGGCCCTATGGTGCTGAGCAACTTCCTGGTCTACTCTGACTCTGTTTTCCTGTCTGTAAAGTTTAGAAAGAGGGAGAGCAAAGAAAGCACATGCTGACGTCACATGCCAGGAATAAGTCATGGGGACTCTCAGCCGAGCTGCACTTGGAGGATGAGGGTTGACATTCCTCTTCGCGGTCAGGAATGACATTCCGCATGGTTACGTTTTAGGAAGCGTCACTGTGAAGTTGGTCTGTTCTCCCAAACAACACCAGTGTTTGAGAACTCCTCACTAGAACCTTTTGGCATCCCTGACCCATGCCCATGTTATTTGGGGTGAAGAAGTGACCGTGAGAGGAAGTGAAAATAAGAGGGCTTGTATGCCTGCAGGATCTGAAGCAAGGAGCACGTTCTCAATGTGGCCTCATCAATGGGGTCTGATGACTCAGAGCCCTCATGAAGTCACCAGGCCTAGAGGTTGCCAGCATGTTAATGGTGGGAATCTTTCTGGAAATGAGTGGCTTGCTAAGCTCCACATGGCTCCTCCTCCCTGATTCCTCTCAGTCATTCCCACATCCACACCCCTCTATTTCTCAGATGGGAAAACTAAGCCCCCTCTAGGGCTGAGTGTCTCAAAGGCAGAGAGGAACGGAGTGGTCTGAACTCCAGAGATCCGCAGTGATTCTGAAATTTCTAACTCATAATATTGTCTGATAATCAGGCAGACTATCTCTGATGGAATTATGAATAGTGTTGGTGGAAATGATGATCACAGACCCCAGTCATTGTTGGGTGTGTACTGTGTTCCAGCATGGTGTGAGGTGCTAAGTTCTTTGCAAGGACTGTCACTCAACCCTCTCCATGATCTTACAGCTCTTCTAAATTATCCCCACTTTTCAGATATGAAAATGGGAGCTTTGTGAGTAGCTCACTAAGGCCACTCTGCAGATATGTGGTAGTGGCAAAATTATAAATTAAACAGCCTAATCTCTTGGAGAAAGGTGCCATTTGAACTAAGAGATCTTCTTGTTTAGTTATCAACAAGAGTAAAAGGAATATTTTTCTGTATATATAAACAACTGACTAGGAACTGGAAATACGAGTTCAAATCTCACTTTGCCTCTAAAAGCTGTGTGACGTGGGGCATGTCACTTCATCTCTTTGAGTCTGAGTTTTCTTATTGTCAAAGTCAGAAATTTGACTGAATTCAATGATTTCAAAAGTGGGGAACAAGAGCTGGCCTTTGAAGGTCCCATTACTGTTCTAAGAGTCTAAATTCCTTACAGTTATTTCACTCCAATGCAACCTCACCTGGGTTATCTTCAGGGCCTCACTGTAATTATCTCTTACATATATTCAACCCATCTGTGACAACATAGTCCTGGCCTTCCCTGCCACTCATATGTACCCTGGCAATAGATGTCATCTTTTGCCTCTTTGCCCCATCTCTGCATGGATGCAACACTGACTTTCAGGAAACCCTTTTTCCCCAGGTCACTCCCTGTCAATTCCTTGCTGCTTTCAGAATAAAGGCAATCACTCACTTTCTAGGCCTTCCATGACCTGGAGTTTATTTTTAAGAGTCAGCAAACCAATAAGCATCCATCACATTTTTCTTCCAAAGTCTGTTGCTTTTTTCAAAATCTAAAATACTGCAAGAGATTTTTCCTATGTGCATGCAAAAGTGAAAAAACAAAAACCGATCTTCAGAATTAACCATGAAGAAAGAGAAACAATTATCATCAAACTATTGTTTAGTGTGTGGCAAAAGCAAAAAAAAAACAAAACACACACAAAAAAAAAAAAAAACAAAAAACAAAACCACACAAAAAAAAAAAAAAAAAAAAAAAAAAAAAAAAAAAGAAAAAAAAAAAACTCCTAACATTTATTTGGCACTAATCTCCTTTCTCCTTTCCTTCTTGTCCCCTCGGTTCAGCACAATCACTGTATACACAAACTCTACCCATCCTTCAATGCCCTGGTAAAAGCTACCCTCTAGACAAAAGCTTCCTATCTGTGTCCCCACTTCCCCTAACACCTACACAGACTTAATGTAGGCCTTCACCCTCCTGCTTCTATTATGTTTATTGTTGTAAATTTTCCATGAAGAAAACCTGTTTATTCCCTCACTTATCTATTCATTTATAGGTTTGTTCACTGAACAAACATTAGTTAAGTCCTGCTAAGTGCCAGGTGTTCCACTAGGTGCAGGGGAAATAGTAGTAAACAGGGCAATGATCCCTGTGTCCATGGAGCTTGGAGTCTAATGAATAAATGGTCATTATTAAAGAATGAATTACT